CGTCCTCGGGGCTGCACAAGTCGCAGGTCATGAGGCGGCCCTTGGCAGACAGGGCCAGCAGCTCCGATTCCCCTGCGGGACAGAGGCGGGCACGGGTCAGGGGCTGAGGGGACGGGGAGCACGAGAGTGGCCAAAAAACGCACGGCTCCAGGGGCAGGGGACGGCTGCCTCCTGCCTGCCCCGTCCCCACCACGCTGCCCGGGGCCCAGCCGTGCCGCCAGCACCACCCCAAGCGCTCGCCAGTGGAAGCTGCAGGAGGAGCTGGGTGCTCGGGGCACGCTGCCACGCAGGTTCCCGGTGGCAGAGCCCTGCGAGATGCCTCCAAAATCCTCGCTCCTCGTGCTGCCCGAGGGACTCGCTGTGCTCGGAGGAGGAGGACGAGGCGAGCACCACGCTTCGCTCCGTGCCCAGACCGTGGTTGGGCACCGTGCACTGCCTGCGCCCCGGGGTGGCACCAGGAGGAGCACCGCATGCAGGCTCTGAGCAGCTGCGCCTGCAGCACCTTTGGGTGTCCCCACGCTCCCCTCTGTGCAGGGACCCGACGGGGACAGCCAGGTCCTCGCAGAAACCCTCACGGGCTGGCGGCCTCCTGCAGCACCACGGCGGCGCAGAGCCTCACGTGAGACAAACCACGACCAGGCGGGGAGGAGAGGCTGCTCCCAGCACGCAGAAACCACTTCCAAAAACCAGGGGAATCGACAAGAACGGGCGGATGGAGCCCAATTTGGCCCACGACGAGGGCAGCTCCCTGTCCCCATCCCACCCCCAGCCCCGCCGCGCTCCCCGCTGTGCCGGGGGTACCTTCAGACGCCCGAGATGACAAGGAAAGGGCCACGACGCTACAGATACTTAAACTGGCCGGAGACAGGACGGGAGGCAGGACGCCGCCGGGGCTCTCGGCGTCCTCGGGGTCGGAGGAGTCGCCCACCCAGTCCAGGTCGACGGCGGAGATGTCCGAGTGCGTGCTGTAGTACATGCGGCTGCCGCTGCCGCAGGCGGCGCAGAGGATGGGGCCGCGCAAGGAATATTCCCTGAGCTCCGGCACCGTGGCCTCCTGGCGCTGGTCGGCCTTGACGGCCACCATTTTGCCGTAGTGGCCCACGGCCACCACGCAGTCACAGCCGGTGGTGCCGAAAATGGGCTCGTCCTCGGCTTCTTCTTCATCCTCCTCCTCCTCCTCCTCGTCCTCCGCCGCCCTGCGCTCCGTTCTCAGGGCGCCGATGAAGACGATGGGCTCCTCCAGGTGGTGGAGGATCTTCACCGGGGGGTCTGGGCTGGAAACGTCGTGGCAGCCGTCGGCGGGAGGCGAGGAGCTGAGGGCTTTGAGGGGCACGGAGCAGAGCTGGCCGTCCGGGAAGCCGCAGAGGATCATCGGCGACTCCAGCATGGCCGCGTCGATCCCGAAGAGCAAGCTGAAGAGGGGCTCTTCCAGCACAAAGCCCCCCGAGCACCACGGCCCCTCTCCGGAGCCCGCCGTGCCCGGGGAGGAGGCGCAGCACAGCACGGGCAGGAAACGTGAGGGCGCGCCGTCCTCCGGGGCTGCGGGCGGGGGGCCGGGGCAGAAGCCCACCTCGCTGACCTGCCGGTACCGGGGGCTCTCCTGCTCGGGGCGCGGCAGCTCGTGCAGCTTCATCCACCACTTGTCCTGGGCTTGGGAGAGGGTGACGACGAAGGCGTTGAGCAGGGTGAACATGCAGAGGCTGGAATCCGGGAAGATGCAGGCGTCCGAATCGACGGGGAAGACGCCCGAAGGGCAGTCGCTTTCTTGGCCGTCGCCCTCCGTCTGCTCCGAAAACCTTTGGGCCAGCAGGCAGAGGCGTTGAGCCAAGGACACGGGGAGAAGCCAGAGCCAATCTTGGCCGCATTTCGCCCCGCTCCTTGGAAGGAGCTCCCCACGGCGCGGATTTTAGCATCAGCAGCCTGGAGGGAGCCGGGGGGCACAGCCCCAAACAGCCCCAAATTGTGCCCGGGGGGGCTCGGGGCCGCCCCGTGGTGCTCTCCTCACCTGCTCTGCTGCTCCAGGGCCACGCAGTAGATCCCGCTGTGGGCGCAGAGGATGTAGAGCTGCCGGGGCTGGGGCAGCAGCTCCACGTGCCACACCTGGTCCGGGCACCGGTACACGGCCTGCGGGGGGGTGCAGAGGGGAGGTCACCACCTGCGGGGCCCCCCCAGGTGCCCACGGGGCCGTGTTTCCTCCTGGGCAGCCCCAAAATAACCTCAAATTAAAGCAGGGATCCCCTGCTCGTGCAGATTGTGGGTGATTTCCAGGAATTTTTTGCCACAAGGTGCTGGGGGGCTGCACGCAGGGGCAGGGCCCTCCCCGAGGGGAAGGGGAGGGAAGCAGAAACGCGGAGCCTGAGCTCGAGCTGCTCCCCGGGGAAGGAGGGCGGTGTAGGAGGCAAACCCCGATCCTCCCGCGGCGGCTTTCTTAGAAATGACAATGAGAAGGGATTAAAAAAAAGAAAAAAGAAAAAAGAAAAAAAGAAAAAAAGCAGCTGCGCAGAGCTCAGCGCCGCGGCCCCTGTTAGTCACGGCGGGGCGCCGGGGGGGGGCGAGGAACGAGGGGGGTCAGCAAGGAGGAAATACCCCCAAATTAATAAATAAATTAATTAAATTTTAATAAATAAATTTTAAAAAATAATTTTTTAAAAAATCATTTTTTGGGGAGATTAATTAATTAATTAATCAATCAATCTCCAACCAGGGGGAACGCAGACAGCGGCACCCCCGTACCCCTGGAAGAGCCTCGGTGCGGGGTAAGCAGAGCCCAGGGGCTCCAAAAATTCATTATTACACCCCATAAAAGCCGGGTTTAGGGTGCAGGAACCCCAGCGGGGACCCCTGAGGGGGGGCAGAACCGGGGTCCCCGCAGCCGTACCTGGGCAGGGGGAGCCTCCTGGTCCCCTGGGGGTGTGGGTGGGGAGGAGGGGGGGGGGGGGCGTCCTGACCTTGAGCACCTTCCCCTCCTGGTCGTAGACGTAGACGAACTCGGTGCCGTTGGAGAGGAAGATCTCGTTGTCGTGGCACAGCACGCGGGGTTTGCCCGCCACCAGCCCCCCCACCGGGCAGCAGAAGCCGGCCAGGTAATCCACCCGCGGGCACACGTGCGCCATGGTGCTGGGACACACCGCGGGATGGTGGGTGTGTGCCCCCCACCCCCAGCCCCAAATCCCCCCCATGTCCCCTAGACCCCCCCATCCTCCAGCCCTCAGCCCCAAATCCCTCCCAGAACCCCCCCCCCATCACAGCTCAGCCCCCCTCCCCAAACCCACCCCAACCCCAAATCCCCCCCCCATCTCCTCCTACCCCCCCCAGCCCCAAATCCCCCCCCAGCCCCCCCTCCACATCCCCCATCCCCCCCAAATACCCCCCCATCACCCCCCCGTGCCCAGACCCCCCCACGGCCCCCAAATCCCCCCATCACCCTCCAAATACCCCCCCAGCCCCAAACCTCTCCCTAAATCCCCCCCCATCACCCCCAATCCCCAGACCCCCCCATCTCCTCCCCACGGCCCCCAGACCCCCCCCATCATCCCCCCCATCCCCAGACCCCCCCATCATCCCCCCAGACCCCAAATCCCCCCCATCACCCCCCCTACCCCCCCAGACCCCCCCCATCGCCCCCCCATCCCTAAACCCCCCCCATTACCCCCCCCAATCTCCCCCACCCCCAGACCCCCCCATCACCCCCCACACCCCCAAATCACCCCCCCATCCCAGACCCCCCATCATCCCCCCATCCCCAAATCCCCCCCATCAACACCCCCCGCCCCCAGACCCCCCCATCATCTCCCCATCCCCCAAATCCCCCCCCCATCACCCCCCCAGACCCCCCCATCGCCCCCCCATCCCTAAACCCCCCCCATTACGCCCCCCACCCCCAATCTCCCCCACCCCCAGACCCCCCCATCACCCCCCCCACGCCCCCCAGACCCCCCTATCATCCCCCCCAGACCCCAAATCCCCCCCCCATCACCCCCCACCCCCAAATCCCCCCCCCCCCACCTCGTCCCCCCCCCGCCCCCCGGCGCCTCCCGGTGGGGCTGCGGGTACCGGGCGGGGGGCGCGGGCGGCTCCGCTTTACGGCTGCGCGGCGCCCGCCGCAATGGGCGGGGAGTTTGCGACAGCGGCCGTAAAGCGACGACGGGGGGGGGGGTCACCAAGGGGGGGGGCACTATATGGGGGGGGGGGTGTGGGGGGGTCGGGGACAGGCGCAAGGAGCCGGGACACGGGGCTGGAAGCAGTGGGTTTATTGAAGGGGGGGGGGGCTGAGAGCCCCCCCCCACCGCGAACAGGGAAACAGAGCCCCCCCGGTGCCCCCCCCCCACAAGCAACCGGGGGTCGGGGCCCCCCCAAATGGGCTCCGACCCCCTCCCAGCATCGCAGTGACCCCCCATGTGTCCCCCCCAGCCCCCCCAGTACCCCCCCCCAGCACCCCAGTGCCCCCCCCGTATCCCACCCAGCATCCTGGGGGCTCCCCAGTGCCCCTCGGTGCCCCCCCAATACCTTGGTGCCCCCCCCGTGTCCCCCCCAGCACCCTGGGGACACCCCAGTGCCCCCTGGTGCCCCCCCCAGTATCCCAGTCCCCCCCCCAGCCCCTCGGTGCCTTTCCCTGGTGCCCCCCCAATACCTCGGTGACCCCCCAAGTATCCCACTCAACACCCCAGTGCCCCCCCTGCACCTTGGTGACCCCCCAGCACCCTGGGGACACCCCAGTGCCCCCCCCAGTGCTCCCCCAATACCTTGGTTCCCCCCCCCATGTGCCCCCCCCAGCACCCTAGGGACACCCCAGTGCCCCCTGGTGCCCCCCCAGTATCCCAGTTCCCCCCCATCACCCTGGGGACACCCCAGTGCCCCCCCCAGTGCCCCCCCCTACACCTCGGTGCCCCCCCACGTGCCCCCCCCACCACCCCAGTAGCACCCCAGTGCCTCCCAGTGCCCCCCCCAGTCCCCAATCCCCCCTCCAGCCCCTCTTGAACACCCCATTCCCCCCCCCAAACCCCTCTGCCCTCCCCTCAACCAAACCCTGGACCCCCTCGTGCGCCCCCCCGGGCGTTATTTGGGGTCGAGCCTTGCCCCCCCCCTCCTCCTCCTCCTCCTCGGGGCCCCCCCCGTGCCCGCTGCAGCTGCTCCACGAAGGCCTCGACCTCCCCAAAACGCCCCGACAGCCGCCCCAGCCGCTCCTTCAGGGCGCTCAGCTCCCCGTACAGCCCGTCCAGCGCCCCCGACAGCGCCCGGATCCTGTTGGGGGGGTCACTTAGAAGGATTATGAGACCCCATAACCCCCCCCCAGGGGGGTTTTGTGCCCCCCCCCGGCCCCTCACCGGCCGTAGTCGGGCAGCACGGTGTGGTGGTCCTGCAGCAGGAGGTTGCGGAGCTGCGAGGTGATGGCGAACCTCCAGTTATCCAGGATCAGCGTCAGGTTGGCGCAGCCTTTGGTGCCCGCTGCGGGGAGGGCAGCGCTGCCGGACGGACCCCAAAAAGCCGACCCCAAAAAGATTTGGGGTCCGGGGAGGGTTGTGCTTAACCCCCCGGGTTCAAAGCTGCCGGGTTGGGGGTCTCGGGGTTACCCTCGGGTCGCTCGTCCCACGCCGCCGGGCGCCGCTTTGGCTTGGTGGCGCAGCTCAGGGCTGCCAGGAGCAGCAGGGGGACGAGTCGCGACATGGGGCTGTGTCGGGACAGGGCGAGGAGGCTCCTATAGGGGCGAGCAGCCCCCATCCCACAGCCCAGTGAGGGTCCTGGAGTCCAGTGGGAGCCCATCCCTGCTGCAGCCCCCGGTTTGGGATGTCCCCACCAACCCCAAACCCCACAGGGGAACGGTTCAGGATTTATAGGATCGTGGCCACCCCACTTTATAGGATTGCAATTCCCCCACCCCAAGCTGGGCCCCGCAGCTCCCAGTCCATCCCAGTTAACAGCGGCGAGACTCCAGCCCCGCTCCCGCTGCCAGCCCCGCGTCCCCAACACCCCCCCGGGGATGGGACGGAGGCGTCGCACCCCAAAACCCAAACCCGCCACGCGGACCCCACAGCACGGGGGGCTGCTCGGCCGCCCCCATACCTGCACCGGGACCCCGCTGGGGGAAACCAGGCGGCCGCTGGGCTCGGCGAGCTCTGGCTGTGCGCGGCTCCGGCCCCCCCCTTTTTTTAGGATTGGGGCTGGCGCGGGGCCCGGCGCTGATTGCAAACAGGCGGCCCCGGCACGGGGGAGGCCTGAGCTGGGGAGGGGGGGGTTCAGGTGCCTTTTTTTTTTTTTTTTTCAGGTGTTTTTTTCTTTTTTCAGGTGCTTTTTTTTGTTTTTTTATTCCACGTCGCTCACGGCCCCCCCCCCCCCCGCCCCACTTCAGTCCAGGCACCGCCGCAGCCCCCGCCACCGAGAAAGCCAGGGGGAAAGCAAATCGCCGCAGCCCCACAGTGGGGCCGAAAGTTGGGGGGGGGCTCAGCAGAGCCCGCAGGCAGCAGCGAGGGGCTGGGGGGGGCTCTGGGGGTCCCCACCACGCCGCCCCCCCCGGCTCACATTTGGGGAAGGCTGCGGTGACTCCCTCGGGGGGGTGGCACAGGGGGGTGCTGCTACGGGTGCCCCCAGGAACTGGGCTGAGGTCCTAAATTCCCAGGTGGGGGGCACTGTAAGGGGGGGGCAGGCCCGCAGGGGGCTGTTTGCACCCCCCCAGCCCCCCAGCATGGCTTCGCCCCCCAGGAGGGGACAAACTCCCCTGTGGGCTCACCCCAGAGCCCTTGGTGGTGGTGTGAGGGGGGGGGAAATCACCCGTCCTGCCTCCCCCAGGAGGATCCCAGGGCAGGGAGTGATGCCAAGGGGGGAACAGGCATGTGCCCCCCCCCCGGGGGGCTGCTCGCAGGCACACGTTGGCCCTTAGGGGAGCCCCAAGGTGGCAGCAGGGAGCTGCAGGGGTGCAAAAGTGGGGGGAGGAAGGTGTCACCCCCCCACCGTCACCTCTGCAGCCTGGGGGACACCTCGGGCAAGGGGGGTCGGTGGGGAGGGGGGGCCCTGGAACCACCCCAAGCCCCCCGGGGACACCAGGAGCAGGCCAAAGCCACGCTGGGGACAGCAGAGAGCGTGGCCCCGCGGGGTGAAGGTTCCTAAAAGGAGCCCCACGGGGACGGGGCTGCCCCAAAAAAGCGAGGGGGGAGCAGGAGCAGAGCCACCCCCTGCCCCTGGCTGGCTCCTGGCCCCCCGGGGGGGTGCGGGAAGCAAGGTGGAGGGAGGCTGAAGAGGGGACGAGCACCGCTGCTACTGCCAGGGGGCTGGCTCCGTGCTGGGGGCTGTGAGGGGGGGGCTAGGTGCGGGGCAGGCTGCACATCTCGCAGTGCTCCGTGCCCGGCTGGTTCATGAAGGTGCAGTGCTGGCAGGCCCACATGGCCGCCGAGACGGCGTGGGGCGACCCCCCCATGGCACCGTACTCCTGCAGGCCGGGGAGCTGCACGCCGACCGTGCCTGTGGGGAGAAAAAAAAAAGAAAAAAAAAAAACAGTGAGAAACAAGAAAGGGGCTGGGGGCTGCTCCCAGGTGGGCGCAGGGCTCAACCACCCCACACCGAGCGCCAAAAACCCCACAAAGACCCCAGCCCTGCTCCCCCAGCCCCGCTCGGAGCAGAGATGCTGCCCACAGCTCCCTCCCACCAGCCCCTGGCCCGAGGGGTGAGGGGGCACGGCCCCGAGCCCCCCTTCTTACTGCAGAGCTGCTCGATGGTTGCCCACTGCTCCGATTTCTTCCAGGTCTGGGCGAGCTCCTCGTTCTTGGTTCTCACGGCTTCCAGCAATAAGCTGATGCTGTCCTGGAAGCCACAAATAAAAGGGGAAAAATCAGCACCGGGCACTGCTCCTGCCCTCCTCCACCACTCACACCACACCAGAGCTGCAACCCCTCTGCTCCCCCCGGCGTGCAGACCCCCCCCCAGCACCCAAATCCTTCTCCTCCCTGCGCCGGGAGGGCTGCGGCTGAGCCCCGTTCCCAGCAGAGCGCAAACTTTTCCAAACCAGGCGCCCCAGAGAGCACCGTGCCCGGCCCCAAGCCCGATCTCCAGCCGCCCAGGGTCAGCCCAGCTGCCCCGCACATGCTCGGTCCCCGGCGCCCACGAGGTCTCTGGCACACACACGGCTCGTTTTGCTGGCACGCCGCTCCGCACGGCAAGGTCCCGGGGCGCAGATGTGAACCGGGGGCCGGGGCAGGCGCCCAGACACCGGTGCCAGGCCGAGAGGGGGCCTCGCGGAGGTGTGGGGGCTCTGGTCTCGTTCTCGTTACAACAGGGATTTCTGATTTTGAGATTTTGTTATAATTATTATTTTTCTAAACGTTTCCAGCTCTCTGAGCCGCGGCCAAGTTGGCTCCGTGCAGGCTGTGGCCATGCGAGCAGCCGCCGCCCCCTCGCTGCTCCGAGTGGTGCTCGGAGAGCTCTCGGGCCAGCCGGGGGCTTCGCTTTCACTTCTTGAACTCTCTGCTGAAAGGGCAGCCGGGAAGAACAGGCACTGGGCCAGCTGCACGTCCTGCCTGGCTGCAGGAGCCCGGCCTGGGGCCGTGTCCGGGGCTGTGGCGGTGTCCTCGGAGCACCAAGGGACACCGGGGGACACCGAGGGCAGGGCTGGCGGCGCTGACACGGCTGTTCCCTCCTGTTACGTACCCGCAGAGGCATGACCTCGTTCGTGACCAGGAAGAGGAGCAGATGGAAATCAGAAATGATGTCTAGGAAAACGGAGGAGGTGTTCTGGGACAGGTACGTGGCCAAGCTGTGGAAGTCCTGCGGAGACGGGGAGGTAATAAAAAAGTCAATTTTCCTCCCGTGTTGTAACTCCGTTTTCTGATCCACCACCAGACACCAACGTTCCCCTTTTGAGCAAAAATCACCCAAATCACCCCCCGGGCTGGTTGGCTGGGTTTTAGCTAAGAGCTTCCAAGGGAGAGGACCTTTGGGTCCGCGCTGACCCAAGCACCAAACCACCCCAGCCCACAAAGGGCTGCCCCCAGCCCCAGGAAGCGCTGGGCAGGGGCTGTCAGCTCAACGCAAAGCCCAGTCCTTGAGGAAAAAAAGAGGTGGATGAGGGGAAAGCAGCCCCTTCTCCCCTTCATCCCCAGCCTCCTCCTCCCTGCTCTCTGACAGACGAGGGCGATGAGCAGCCGACCTCTCCCAGCCTGTCAGCGCCGCGCCAGGCAGCAGCCCTCCTCCTGTGCTTGCTTTTGGAGGAAGTCTTTGACATCTTTGGCACAGGCTCTTAAGAGGAACTGGCTGTTGCTGCTTTAAAGCCACTCAGGACTTCTGTGCGCTGGCAAAACCCCGTGCACGCCTCGGGCTGTCCGGCAGCTGCCTCTGCTCAAGGCTACGGGGCTCTTGGGCAAGAGGTCGTGGTGTTTGCAGCAGCAGTGCAGGAAGGGAAGAAAGCACTGGTGGAGCTGCTTCAAGAGACCCTGCTCCTGTCACCAGTGGGTCCTGTCCTGTCTGTGGGACTGGAGCACGGCCGGGTGGCTCCCCACCTCCCCGGGTTATCTGGCAGAGCACAGAGTTCATCACCAGGCAGGCAGGGAACAGTGCCCGGCCCCTCATCTGCACGCAGACGCTGTGCAGAGCAGGAAGGGGTTTGGCAAACGCCGGGCTGAGGCACGGAGGGGTGATCTCAGGGCACGCCTGCAGCTGTCCTCGGGCAGCCTTTAGAGAGGGAAAGAGGAGCAGATGATGCCTCTGCGTGAGGTGGTTTTGGTGTTGAGTGCTTACCTGAGTTTCTCCCAGCACATCGCGGTTCTCGATGGGAAACGGGTTTTGAGAGATAGAAAAAGTGTAGACTGGATCCTTGGGGAAAGTCGTGGTGATCTGGAAATCCAAGAAAGGGCGATCAGAGCACTGAGAGCAGGAGAGGCAAAAGGGACACGGGAAGAAAGGCTGCTGAGAGCTGAGAGCAGGCAGGGCTCAGCCGGGAAGGCAACCCCAGCATGGATTTTCTGATGGCTTTTAATATTTAAAGGTTTATTCCAACCAGCACAACCCCAGCTCCTGGCAGCCACTTTGAGTGGAGCTGTGGGAAATGCACTGAGCCCGAAGCACCACGAAATGGTGCTGCAGAGAGCGTCCCCTTTGCAAAGCTCCCACCACAGCTCTGCCCCGCGCTGGGAGCCGCTGCTTGGGGTCACCCCGGGGGTCTCCTTAGCACCTGGGGGGGGCACAGCACGGCCCCTGACCAGGATGGGGACACAGGGGCTCTGTTCTGGGCTGGGTGCTCAGAGAACAGCTCTGCCCCTCATTTAACGGGCTGTGCCCCTGCTTGGGGTGCACCAGCACCCTGTACCCAGCCCACCTCGTGCCCACCTTCCTCCAGAGGTGCCTGGGTGCAGCAGCAGCCAGCGACTGACATTTACACCAGCCCTCACTCCGGGGGCTTCAGAGCTCTGCTGTCAGTCACTCTGCCCTGACAGAGGCTCTCTGTAGGCAGAAATACCTGCCAGAGCAGCATTAACTTGAATAATGCCACTTTTTTTTTTAAAAAAAAAAAAAAGAGACAAACCAAGATGCTTCAGAAATGCAGCTTTCCAGACTGCCCCTAACTGCATGTTCCATCAATCTGTTTTCATCTTAATTACACCCCAGGTAGCCCGGAAGCAGATGCCTTTACTGCTTGAGTAATAAATACGTTCCAGAGCTGCTGGCTGGCACGGGGCGTCGGGGGGACCTGCACCACAGGCCCCTTGTCCTGAACACGGCGTTTCCCCAGCGAGGAGCATGTCGCCCTGCCAGCCCGAGGGCTCCAAAATTGGGCAGTTTGTGGGCTCGAAGTTTATGTGCTCGAGGCAAGAGCAATGGGGAAGCCTCTGGGCTGCCAGCTTCCCCGCGCCGTGGGGCAGCGCCTGTGCCAGGGGCAGCTGGGCCAGACCAGTTGCTTCGGGAGGATTTAATCGTTATTGGCACCGCCTCCGACTCCGGCAGCATCATCTGTCATCTGAATTATTTGCTTCCCTGCCTTCCACGCACCGTAACACTTCCCTTCCGAGCCAAAAGGGCAGAGCCGTGCCGCAGGGCCTGGCAGGGCTCGCTCGGGGGCAGGCGGTGGCCCTGCTCCAGCCAAGCCCCGTGCTCTGTCTTGTCCTCCCTCCCCCAGGAAAAGGCATTTTTGGAGCAGCAACCCGGTTTGCTGAGTCACTACAAGGAGCTGGAGTCTTAATTGCTGCTAAGACAGACAATGGGAGCTTTCTAATGAGCTCCCCTGTCAGGTGGTGCCCAGCACACGTATCCGTGGGGCTGGCTGCTTCCCTTGCTGGATGGCTCCGTGCCACCTCCACGCAGTGATAAGAGCAGGCAGGGCCTTCCCGGGCAGCAAACCTCTGCACCACTGCATGCTGCTCCCCACGAGCACTAAAATCACCCCGGGGCACTGCAATCACCCCGGGGCACGCCGCCTCCTGCGCCTCTGCGCTAGGAATTCCTCTCCGCAGAGGTAAAAGAGGAGAGGAGCAGAGCCCGTCCCACAAATCAGCCCCGGTGTGAATTCCAGAGGTGGGTGAGGAAGCTCACTCTGCCCCGTGAGTGCAGCAGCTACTTACATCTATGATCAGGTACTCGACTGGGAGCGGGCGAGCCAGCTGGGTGATCTCGTTGCCAAACTTGTCTATGTCCTGGAAGAAGAAGAAGAGGATTGTTAATCCCCGGTGCAGAACGGGGTGAAGCAGGAGGGACGCTGCCCCGGACACTCGTGTTGGAGCTCGGGGATTTTCAGGATGTAGGAAGGAACCTGCTGGCACCACACCGGGGGCTGGGGTCAGGGCAGAGCTGCCCAGCTCCCTGCAGCTCCCCGAGGTTCGAGCCCTCTGCAGCTCTAAGCCACTCACCCATCTCCCTGCGAGCCAAGGGAGTGTTTTGGGACAAACACAGCACTTTGGGTTTGTTTTGCCTCTGCCATCACCACCAGAAAGACAGCCAGCATTATCTGAGCAGAGTAAAGGCCTCTTAAGGTGCAGAATTGTCGTAGAAGGGAGGGAGAGCTCCACATCAGCCAAGGCAAACCCGACTTTCTGCAGACCTGGCCACGAGTCCCTGCTCTGACCACTCAGTCCTGCTCGGGAACTGGAAATCCAGGCATTTCCTCCTGCAGACCTGAAGGGCCAGCACATTGCGGAGCACAAACTTGTTTGGCTTTGCCAGGCGAATTGAACATAAAGTTTAATTATGGAGAAAAATGGCCAGCATATGTTCATTAATCACAAAATGACAATTAGACGTGATTTATGTCAAACACGCCGAGTTCAAACACAGCTTCAGAAATAAATTCATAAGAAGTGACACTTTTCATTAAAGATTCTGTAAGAGGGGGTTGTATTCTCTCCCTAAATCATCACTTAACATGTTATAAATCATTCATCGGGCCCCATATAAATTACACGCCCATAATTCCCCATCAGAGACCCTACATAAAAGTTTGCATTGAGCGAGCGGGGTCCCAGCAGCCAGAGGCAGACCCGAGGCTGCTGAGGCCCACGGGCACCCCGACACCCATGGGGGCTTTTGGGGAGCTCTGCGAGCAGCCACGAGCTGTGGATTTGGGGCAGCACTCCTCGGGATGAGCCAGCGAGCCACGGAGCCACGCGCTTTGGGACGAGCTGCCCGTGGCTGACAGCCTCCCCTGGCGAGCTGTGTTTTTCCCTGTTTTTACACCACCCCCCGCTATCAGCATTTCTCAGCCCCGCTGGTATTTACGCAGCTCAGGTATGCGTGGAGGCAGCCAGCACCCCGCTCTCACGGTGCACCCCGCCGGACACAACCCGAGCAGGCTGCGGCTCGCTGCCCTGCTCCAGGCAACAGCCCCCCTTCCGCGAGCCCCCTCCCCACCTCCACCCCGAGCAGCCCCTGTCCCCAGGAACGGCTCCCTTTGTAGGAATCTACCTTGCAGTCTTTGAAGCTCCTTTTAAAAGCAAGCCCGATAAGGATCTCTTCTCCTTGAACATGACAGGTTGTTGGCCCCGTGGTTATTTCAGCAACAAGCCTGGTGGCTTGTGGCCTCAGATCTCTCTGGCTCTGACAGGAGCAGCAGGAGACGTGGAGCCTTTTCAGAGAGATCACAGGGCCTGCGAGCTAACCTGCTTCTAGATCGCAGCGATACCGCGAGAGTCAGGAATCAAATCCAATCAAACCAAATCAGCTTCCCAAACACAATCCTGCCCCTGCAAGAAAGAACCTGCAACAACTCACACATAATTAGCCCATCTGGAATTCATTTTCAAATCTAATTAAGTTCTAATATGCAGAAACATTTTTCCAGCACCTGTTCTCTTTAATCTCCGCCTCTGGGGATTTCCATGTTAAATGCCTCCTTTTTAATGTCACGCTGCCGAGGCCTTCGAGACACGCACGGCACAGTTAGCGCCGCGCTGCAACCTCGCTGCCCCCGGCTCAGAGGGTCTCGACGCGTCCAGACCCTGCCACAAAACCCCCCCCCTTGCCCACGCTGGTGCTCTCCCGCAGCCCCCCGTGCACCGTTTTATTAGGCAATTACATTTTAAAGGTCCTAACAAACGTCAAGCTGGGAGGGTCGCTAGGAGGGGGACATCCTCACCCTGCGTTTGGCTGCGGAGCACGAGGTGCTGTGCTGCTGTGCCTCGCACCCCCAGAGCCCCCCCAGCCACAAACGTGCTCTGTTAAGGGAGGGCACGAAGCGGTTAACGGAGAGGCACAGCTATTTGGCACCTGGACAGAAATCAGGCAGCACGGCCCCGGAGGATCTGGACAATGAATCATCCCGAAGACAGGAGCAAACTGCAGATTGCATCAGGCGCTGCGATGGGAGCCTTCGAAACCGCTGGTTGGAGGCAGAAAACAACGGGATCGGGCAGAGGTGGTCCTGGGGGGCTTCAGCATCTCCAAGAGGAGGGTGATGGCAGCCGGCACGGGGCTGAGCAGCCCTGGCTCTGGGTGCTAAGGGAGCCCGGAGCTGCCTTTCCCTCTGCTGCTGTCCGGGAGCTGCACCGGGCTCACCCTCACCCAGACAGGCAGCCAACGACGTGCAGAAACGAAGCGACTTTTCTCCGAGTAAGCAACAGGTCAGGGAGAGTTGAAGCCCTTCTCAGGAGACTCCCCGTGAGCTAATCGAGCATCCTCCTCCCCGGAGCAGCTGGGACATTTAAGGCTAGGAAGGCTTTTCCAGCCCAGCACAAGCTCTGGGTGGAGGCCAGGCAGGGGAAGTCCGTGGCTGCTGGTGAGAGCTCCCTGCAGAGGTCTCTGTGCAGCCCGGCTATTGCATCCTGCCCAGGAAGAGGATTTCAAAGTGCAGGGGCAGAAGCAACGCGTGCCACGAGGGGGACAGCGTGGCTGAGAGCAGCTGGGGGTCTGCGTCCCGTTTGGTCACTGCCCGGGCCAGATGGGAGCACATTTGTTCACGAAGACGTCTGGTCGGACACAGCCTCAAGTGTTGTAAAGCAAAAATGCTCTTGCTGGACCCTGCGGGGGCAAAGGGCTCTTTCACAACACTGCTGCCATTGTGAAGGGTTCTTGCCTTACAGCATCCCGAAGAAATGCTGGGGAATAGCGAGGCAGCTGTAAAATGCAACTCGCTGCACGGATGACATCTTCGTGTTTGCGCTGTGCTGCGGTAAACAACTGTGGGAAGAGCCAAAGCCTTTCCCAGTCCCCAAATCCAATTGTTGAGACGTTTCAAAGGGTTGTAAAACACAGCAATCCTGCTTCCTGCTCTGTTCAAGCTGCGGGAGCAGAGTTTGGCCCTGCTGCAGCTATAGACCCAGCAGAGTGGGAGCAGGGAGCGTGCAGGCAGCGCACTGCTGGGCACAGGCAGCCTGACGAGAAGGATCAGACCCGACTGAGGCACTGAGCAAGCAATTTCAGCGCTGGGTAATCATCCCATAGGTTGGAAGTGACATTCTTAGCAAAATTGAAATCAATACGGTTGTTTTCTAGAAGCAGATGGATGAAGGAGGTAACTGCTGAAGGGCAGAAGGCACTGAAAATGTCCGTGTGTCATTCAGCTGGGCTCTCCCTCACCCAGCTGGGAAACAAGGCGAAGTGCTCACTGCAACATCCTCATCTTTGCCTGCAAGCAGAGGGCTGCCGTGACGCTTTGCAGGCAACCTGGGAGGCGAGGGGGATGTTTTCTTCCTTCTGGCTGATCTTACCTGGAGGGGCGTCTCTCAGAGGGAAGCAACTTGTACTCGCCGGTCCCCAAAGCCCTCGACTTTCACGCTAGAGAAGAGCTCCAGCCTTCACAAGCCAGGAAAGCAAAGGCTGCGTGCAGAAAGCACAGGCTGCCAATTCCACTGGGGTGGTTCCTCCGAGCAGCAGGGCTAGTGGCCAACGTAAAGAGAATGGTAAAGACATACAGAAATCACAAGGCTAGAGGCTCAGGAAAAATGCCTCATCCTGGCAGGACAACGCTGGTGCCATCAGTTTTCCTGTTTCCACGGGAGAAAAGCCCACCCCTGCCACCACGCCGCCGTCACGTTCAGCAGAAGGGCTGCAGCCCCGGGGTCGTGGAAGCCCCCGCTTCCACTCTGCAAACACAAAGTGGTGCAAAACATGCAAGAATGGCTCACTGCTCGATGTCCTTTTATTTCCTGGCAGCTGGGTGCGTGCACTGAAGCCCCTGAAGCTGCAGCTCTCCTACCCCTTCCCCATCGGGGTGCATTTCCTAGCAGTCACTGCTCAAGTACCAGCAACAATTGCAGGCAGAGAAACACCTCTGAGCAGCGTGACTTCACCGTGCAGACATCAGCACCTCTGCTATCTGCAGGGGTGGAGGCGAATCTACTCCCTTTACCCTGCTACAGGAGACACACGAGTTCAAGAGATTTTTTCTTCTTGCATCTGGATGCAAAGTTGTTCTATAAATACATCCGTGCTAGACCAGCGCTGACCTTCTGGTTTGCATCCAATTATAATAAATTTGTACAGCCCCTTTCATCCTAAAAGGCTTTTCGAACGAATATTTGCACGTAACATTGAAATGTATCTGGGGATTTCTCTCTCTACACCAGTGGGAGCTTCTCAGCCCGACACAAAACGCAGCAACTGGCCAAAAGCGCAGCTTTCTGCCCAAAAACAGATGTGGGGAGACAGCACAGGGGGGAACCCCCACATCAAGGACTGGGGCGAAAGCTGCTCAGCTCCTGCAGTTTTGACAGAGAAAGGGGAAGAAGGGTGCTGCACCACGAACCAGATGTCCGTAAGCATGCGGCCAAGCAGCGGACTCCTGCTCCTCGCAGTGTATTTAACCAGTGCTTTGACACCATCGCTGTCACCAACCCAGTAACCATGAGGTAGTGTCTCTGACTTCAAGCCTTGCACATTTAATGAGACCCCAAAGGTTTTCAAAGCCTAAGTGACTAAGCTTTCCATTGATTTAAGAACATACCAAAAAAAAAATAATAATTAGGAGATCCTACAGCCAAACACGTTTAAGGCTGGAGGACAATCACACCCGCCAGAGCAGTCCTCAGGCCTTCCTCGAGCACATCATGAAAAAGGCAATTAGGGAGAGAAGTTATAAAACACGAACTAAGCTGCAGCCCGACCCAGTGAATCAGTGGCTGATGGAAATTTCCAGAGGAGGCTGGAGCCATCAGCGTGCGTTTTGTTTATCTCCCTGCTTCAGATTACGAATCGCAGGGAAGACCTTGGGGGAACACCCACCGGCTTCCTGCTCCCAAACACCCAGGGTGGCCCACATGTGGGACACAGACCTGCGGGACCTCCTGCGGGGCTGCACCCCGATGTGGCACGGCGCGGGCTCCCGCGGAGCAGGACCACAGCACGCCAGGAGGTGAAGTCATCTCCGCGCTCCAGGCCAACCATTGCACAACCCAGCCCCGCTGCATCTCCAACGGACCCGGCTTATCAGCTCCTAACAGCGAGCTGAGATAAAAGGTGAGGATTTTAGCTGCTTTTCCCCATAGGACGGATCGCTCTCAAATGCTGAGTTTAGCCAAAAGGTCCTCCTCGTTTTCAGGTGGGGTTAAAACAACCCAACAGCGCGGCATCGAGGGGTAGAGGGGGAAGAGTCTCATGGGGTAATTCACCCAGGCTGGCATCTATCAGTCTCAGGCTCGGGCAGTGCAAGAGCATCCTGACAAGCTCCTTTCCTGCTGATGGCACGCAGCGTGCTCGTTTCGGTTGTCTCAAACAATGGCAGCTCTGCATATCCTGTACTGCTCAGCAGACAGCTTTAATACAGATGGCAGGAGCGCTGCAGGCTGAGCAGGCTTTGAATATCAGACACAGACAAGAATGAGATAACTAACTGGGGTGATGGATGGCTAATTAGCTGGCAAGCAGTGCCATTAATTAATTCCCCTGTCCTTGCTCACAGGGCACCAACATACACAAGTTTGAGCAGCGGTGCCATTAGCCTCCACGGAGATCCTGTCCCCAAGTTTCTAACTCAGCCCCGCAGATACTGGAGGTCTGAAGATCTGCAGAAACAACTGCCAAGTGAACAATGACAGTCCATTCATCATGAAAACTGTACCGAGAACTGCAGCAGGCCAGACACCAGCAGTGCTCTAGCACGACACTTCAATAGGAGCGTTCTGGATGCACGCAGGATGCAGCTATCCCTCACTGTCCTCACTGGGCACAGGCAGGAGCTCCAGTGCTAGGGAGGAACACCAGGGACGCCTTTGGGCCCTGCCACTGCTCTGAAAGCCTTCTCACCCTCCTTTTGTTGCAGAGAAGCACGCACAAGGCTGTTTCTCCTCTTGCTGCATGAGCTGCACTAACTTTTGGTGCATCTGCTACCCAGTCGGTGCCTGTCGGCGTGTCACACACGAGCAAATCCCCAGCACTGCGTAAGGAACCCGCTGCTTTGTGCTAGCACACATCACACAACCGTGGAGGAAGCTGAACACAGCTGGGGGTCAAAATCAACAGAGAGCCACGGCAGATTCAGCCAACAAATACAGAAGAGGAGGTGAATTCGGAGCACTTGCTGTGGGCTCTCAGCGGATCGCTGCAGCCCTTATTTAGAAGCTGGATCGCCAATGGCTACTGCAGCACTGGAAACCCTAACAGCACTTTTACGAGGGGGAAATGGAGCTTATGCAATTACTTTGCAGACATGTGGTGAACGGTTACTACTGAAAATAGTTCAGACCTCAAAGACATCCTTTCCTGAGCTGGCCATGCCGATTTCCAGGCACGCAGCAGAGCTGTTTTCGCAGCTCCCCCACCCATGAGCACGCAGCGCTTACCTTATAGAACACATCAGGCACATACTGCTCGCTGCTGGACTCCTTTGCGTAGCCCAGCTCCGGTGCATCTCGGCAGGGCAGCAGACACTCATCCCGAACCAGCGCCATGCACTGGTTGGAGACCTGGTACCCCTCGAAGTGAACCTGGTTGTCGGGACCACCTGCAAGAGAAAAGCCTGGGTCAGAGCTGTGCAGGAGAGAGATTTGCTCGGAGCAGCTCGGAGAGGCACGGCTCAAAGGGCACTGTAAGACACGACGGTCCTTGTGACAGTGAGGAATGGTGAGAAGACAGTGCCTGTGCTGCTGCACGGGGAGCATTTCTAGTAAGGATTTCTCCATGTAGTTAGCAACGTGCACTTCTCAGCACTATTTTCACACCTCGCCTAATGGGACAGCGAGAGCACTTTGCCAGGAGCTTAAACAAAGCCAAGCTGCCCTCTTGGAAGGCTCCTGACAGCGTCCACCCCAGCACCCTGCAGGTATCCTCTCTCTTCCAAAACATAAACCAGGCACACAACTCCTGCAAGCCTGTTTTATTTCCAGTGTACCACGAGCTGCGGAGTCAGGGTTTGTCACCTAGCAATGTCAGGCATAAGAAGAAAAAGTGTTTTCTCAGCCCATAATGGATGGCTCGGTGGAAATCTGACATGGAAAGTGGAAATTAAGACCCTGGCTCACTGATAGATCACATGTTTGGCGCTTTAATTTGGATAATGTAAGCAACATCGGGTCATATGTCATTAGAATACAACTGGAAAGAGAAGATACAGACAGATGGTAGGAAAACATTACGATTTCCAAACCTAGGAATTCAGGAGGGGAGAGGAATTAATCCATGTAGAGGATTTAAAGGCGAAGTTGATGCAAACTATCCAATTATATTTATACTGCACAAAAGGAAGGAATCAAGTGTCTAAATAGAAACCTGATGGGCTGATAGAACAGAAGAGAATGAAATTATCTGGAACAGAAAAGAGGAAATATTCGTTTTCTTCCCTTTGATCTCTAACCTCAATCACTCACTGCTCCAGAACAAACACTCCTAGAAATTAAACATAGACCAAGACACGGGGGAAGGCCTAAACAAAGCTAGCTATCATTTTCTCAGTAAAACACCCTTGTTTAAAAAATAAAAAAAAAATAAATTAAATTAAAAAGAGTGAGCGAGACGCACATTTATTTATAATGAAAGATTGATGCGTTTAGCACTCTGGAATGCAGGGGCAGCTGTCTAATTGCACGAGCTCGTTAACTGAAAGACAGCGTTTTCGCTGAAAAACGCTCCAAGAACGCTTACAAAACCTGGGCTCAGAAAGGCAGCACAATATCACACTTTCAGTTTTTATATTGGATGCTGTTTGGAAGTCATGTTTTTGTTTTTGTTTTTTTTTCATTGTGCTAAATAGACCCAGAACCCAGCGTATCTGCTCCAGGGAAATTTTAAATGAATACACGTGTCATCCCATGAAGAACAGCAGATTGAACTCCTAATGCTACAACTCTCCCAGCGTGTGCCAGCATCGCCCCTCGCGGCCCAGGCAGCACAAACTATTCCACAGTGCCTCTGGAGACTTGCTGTGAAAATGGCTAAAATCCGAGGTGACAAAGCAAAGCATTGTGCAGGCTTCTCCGTTTTATTCAGGCAAACAAAAAAGGCTTCCACGCACGGCAGAGCAGAGAATCCTCCGCAAGGGTTTCCCTGACAGCAGCACAAGGGAGATAAAGGACCCTCCTTTATGCTGAACCACCCAGAGTAACTTTCAGGATCTGGATCGCCGTGGTTCTGCGCTGCTGCTTTCAGGAAACAGAATTTGGAACTTAAAGATTTGAAACAGAAAAGCAATCAGCAGCTATTCCCCTGGCTGCAGGCAAAAAATACTTTCTGTATCAGGGAGGTGGGTGCTCCAGGTATGAGCCTCAACTAAATTTCCTGCAGGGGACAGGGTAAATAGTTGAAGAGGAGACATCACAGGGAACAGAACAACAAAAAAAGAAGGTATTTTACTTGATGGAACAAGGCAAAACCCTCGTTAAATAGGACAGATGGGGACCAGGACGTTCAACTTCCTCTAGCAGAGCTGCGTATTCTACTTCTGTTAACAAAAGATAATTCGAGTGTAATCAAGAGACGCGGGCGAGCTGAGGCCAGTTTATACCTGTAGCCACAACTGTGACAAACTTGGATCCAAAGTGACCATCTGGAGAAAGGCGACAGATGTTGGGCTGCTGGTTCTGAAAGTTTCCAGCTGTGATGCACTCTTCTGCACTGAGATAATACGTGTCCTGAGGGAAGAGCAGAGATGTCAATAGAAAGGACAACACGATGTAGCCGGGACCTATTTCCCTGGTCTGCGGCCAAAGAAAACTACCAACACCCTAGTAAAACATGCTTTCGTAGAAAGCTGCTGCAGAGACCGGGAAAAGAATGTGACTTATCACTCCTCCAGCCCTGAGCGTGGCTTTCGCCAGAAGGACTGTCCCGCTTTCGGTTCCACCCACCTTCACACACTGGCTTTGTTACGGGGTTTCGTTTTCTGAAGGGCTGCCGCCGATTTTAGAATTACAGGAAACTGCGAGGAGGTCAACGCCTGAGCACCCAAACCACGCACCTCGCAAAGCCCAGCCCACAGGAACATCCTCCTGCTGAATCACTTTTGCTGGCTGAATTTGCATCTCTCACAAACCCATTCTCTCCACTCTACTAACTTTTCTTAAACCACCAGCACAATTTTCTTAAAAGCAGGGTGGGAGAAGGGCTGCAGGCAGCTTTGCCTGCTAGCCAAACAGCTTCAAACCCCCTAACAGTGCTCTTGGAGCTCCAGCTCCTTGTCCTTCGACAGCTTCTAAAAACCACATTTCACAAGAATTCCGGTCCCAGTGTCACCTCCAGCCCTGTCTCACTCAGTGCCCCGTTTGGCAGCATCAGCATTTAGGTGATTACACAAACCCTCAGTATCAGCAGCAGCAATCGGGGACACACTCGAGCCTCACCTTGTTCCTGCTGTACCGCACAGTCCCTTTCCGCGTGTCTTCAGAGACCAGATCAGTAAATATCCAGCCAACCTATAAGGCAGCGTTATGGAGAAAGTTGCTTTAAGAAAGAGAGAAAAAAAAAAGGAAAAACCCCAAACCCACAGAAGACAGCTTATACATTTTCTCCTAGCAGGACAAGATGTTCTTGGCTCCTCGCACAGCCCTGCGAGGGCCTGCTGCATGCTGCCTGAAGGAAATGGCTCTCCCAGCTGTGCCGGGCTCATTTGAATACGATTTCCAGGAGCAGCATGCCAGCTGGCCGGCCGGGGGCACCTGCAGCTTTATGTTTCACTCTGGAATATTTTTTCATGGAAAGATCTGGAGGCTGCAAGAGGCCTCTCAGCCGCTACTCCTCCCACCCACAGCAAAAAGCATTTCCTATCGAGCATTCAGAGCAAAGCGGCATCCGAAGCGCCAGCAGATGACAAAGCAGCTCACATGATCTCATTTTGAAGCTCGCAGTCACTAGCTAAGATAAAGCTCGTGTGCTCCCACTGGAGCATGATTCATTCCAAATCGGCCTGCCCCGTTCCAAAAAACACATTCCTGCTTTTTGCATTGTTTGCACATAGGAGCAGAGATGTGTACACACACACACACACCGCTGCATGAACCCTTCTCCACACACGTGCTAAAAACAGCTCTCAGCAGCCTCCTCGTGACCAGCTCCCGGAGCATTAACCCTTCAGAGAGGGGGAACTGCTGATTCAGGTTCCTGGCGGAGCCCAGAAAGACAAAAATCTGCAACCAGCAGCGAGCTGCACGTTAAATCACTCTGATGAAAAATGTCTGATGTGAGAAGCAAAGGGAAAGCGTGGAAATAAATAACACGCACAGAAGCTTTGCTCCAGACACTGGCAAGAGGCTGAAGATCTTATCTTCGGAGAACAAAAGATCTCACCACAGATGTTTATAGTCTACCGTACCGAGTCTTTTCTGATTTGTGTTTTCTTTAGCAAGTCAATTCTTGTTTGTGTACGTCTCATTCCTGGCATTCACATGATACCAAAAGATTTCCCAAAGCAGAAAACATCAGTACAGGTTTGAGAGATGTCAGCAAACCGAGATCCCAGTGCCCATACATCCTGATTGGGCTACTGACAGGCTGCGGGCACAAGGAGAAGGGAGGACCGAGGCTCAGCTGTCGGGGGACCTGCACCCCTCATTGAGGTCCAGATCAACTCCCCGCCGCCTGCCTGAGCAGCAACACGAGGCGGGACCCACAGACGGGAATAAAAATCAAGCAGGAGCCTCTGCTCCTGGAAGTGGAGCACAGATTCTGTCAAAAGGAAGAACAAACTCAGAAGGCAACTTCAGCTACATCTGTGCCCAATTAGCACTCACTGGGAAGATGCTACCAGGAATGGCTCCTATCAGAGGAGAAATAAAGGGAAATTTGTGTTTCTATTTCTTTGCTATTCCCTTTGATGTCATTCATGACAGAGGACTGCTGACTGCAGCTGAACAGCTCTGCTGTATGCTCATGCTCAGTGAAATGCTCTTTTATTTTTTTTTTAATACCCGAGAGCATATGAGCTACTGACACTTATGCTAGATTTGAAATGTGCCCAAACGATCTCGAATAACCCTGTGGAGCTGAAGAGAACTGCCAGGGACTTTCTTCATATGCAAAAACGTGTGACACCCAACAGCATCCTAACCTTTCTCAGTCCAAGCTTGGCAGCAATCTCATCCACAACCTCTGCTTTTGGATCTTCCAGGATCTCCAGGCTGTTCTGTGTACCAATCTGCAGCAAAAGAAAAAAAAAATCTTGCTAGTAAAACAGAACAGGAAAAACCACAGCACCCTTAGCCATCATCAGGAGCGAGGCAGAGGATGGAAGCAGGGTTAGGGGTTTTCCCTTCAGCACTAGCACTGATTTTCACCCCAGAGACCTCCTTTGCTCACAGACCCATCCTGCAGGAGCTCTTCAGATAAGCCTGCAAAGCGTGTTGGGGTTTATGAATGAAAGACCCTTGCTCAGCACTTACAAACAGGCTATCGCCGTCTCTGAGCGCTTTGGAAAAGGCGAGAGATTATAAAATGTTCCAAAGCTCTGTTCAACCTGCCAGTTCTGTACTCCTGCTCCGTTTGTTTGAGTCTTTGAGCCGCACCGAGGCAGAAGTCCAGTGAATCCGAGAGCCCACACCCAGGCCTTCCCCCCACGTTCTGGAAAACACGACTCCATCTGGGTGCGTTTCAGAGGCGAGCTTTCTCGTGTGGGGAGCTGCTCTGCCAAGAAGCACAGCAGAGACTGCTTGCCAGGAGAGCAAAAGCTTCCTCGCTTTTCCTGTGCGCAGCTAAAACACATGAACTTCCAAAGCACGGGCTTAACAGAGATACTGAAACACAGAGGGCATGGCTGCACTGATATTTGAAATAAATGGAAGAGTTTATAAAAGGTTTGCAGTTCTGCTCTCAAACGCACAGTCCTGAAGATCCATGTATTTTTTCTAAGGATAATTTTTTGCATTTTACTCTAGCAACCTTGCAGAAACCAAGAGGAAGAAAACACATAATCCACAGAACCCCCCCCACCACAATACGTTCACATACCGAGGGTCTGCACTTACAGAAGTGACTCTGCTCAGCAGAGAAGCCAACAGGCAAACTCAGACTCAAACCAAGCCTTGTGTTAAGGGCAGAGCGGCTTTTCACATCTGCCAGCTCCATTTTCAGCTCCGTAACTCCGAGTTCAGCTTTTGGGCTTGCTGCGAGGCCAGGCACCAGGGGACCCGCTCTGGCTGGAGCCCATGGGATGAGCTTGGTGGAGCCTGAGCGCGCACCGCGCGGTGCCTTGCACCATCTAGCGGGGACTCGCGGCCGCTCCTGCCCGCCCCGGAGCCAGCAGCAGGCAGCTCTGAGGTCTCCAATCTTATCCTCCACCCCTCAATCAAGGTGGCAGACTTTATTTGTCTAATTAAGCTGCTTTAACTATTCCCGGACAGCTGATAAGAAATCGAAGCAAGGGCCAACTTTTTTTTTTTTTTTTCCTGCTATAGAATTTGTTTTAAGGACTGTTCTGTACCATAACCTTGGAAACCCAGTCATCAAGGAAAACATAACAAGTGAAACCCACTGTTCTGAAGCCTCCCGAGCTTTAAATCATCCGAGCACAGAGTAATGTAAAAGAAAATATAAGAGTTATAAAAAGCTAATCTGGGTTTTAAAACTCTTTCAGAGGCAATAAGCAGCAGTGACGACGGCGCACAGCACGGCGTAAATCACAACTCCTTTTTCATGGGACTGTTTTCCTCACGGAGCTGCAGTTGGAAATAACTCGAGAGGTTTCCCAAACAGAAAAGTGTTTGTGTGTTCCCTGATTACGAGTCGACAGCGAGGCCAGGGCGCAGGGCTCGCATTACCTGTGGGGGTTCGTAGATGGCAGCGACCTCGGCCCGGATCCCCAGAGGGATGTCTTTGTGCTCCGTGTACCGGCCATACAAATACCCAAGATGTTGGTTTCCTGTCTTCCGCCAGAAGTCTAGGAAGCGATCTGCAATTGTGTGGTTCTCAAACATGATGTTGTCAACATGCCTGTATTTCTGTTTGACAAAGTTCAAGCGTCAGGGCCATCCTCAACTAGGTCGGGTTCCTTTGCCTATCGCCAAACCCTTCCCCCAGGGCCCCCAGCAGCACAGGACGCTCGCCACCCCTCACAGCTGAACCCTGCCAGGAGCAGGGAACGCCGGCTCCCTCCCTGTCCCACACCACTCTGCCTCAGTTTCCCCATCCAGCACCTCTCCCTGCCCAGCACGCAGAATTCAGCACGGGCTGGGCTGTGGGGAAGCGCTGCGCAGCCCCCAAATCCCCTGAGCTTGGTGTCCTGACTAGGGCCCTTATCCCACGAACTCTTGCAGCTAGAAGAGACAGTGAAATTTGAGCAGAAACAAGAAAAAACAGCGGGTGGGCCTTTGGATCCCATGAGGAAAGAGAGTGGAGATTCTTTGCTAGCGGTGCCAGCTCAGATGTCCTTCCCATTAAGAGGAAACTGCTGAACCAGATAGATTCTGGAGTCCTTCTCTGCAAGGACTGAAGACCTTAACAGCCATTTCCCCAACAACTGCCAATACGCAAAGGCTTCCCGCTCCAAGTTGGCTGTTCTTGAAGTCATCTCTCCAAAAATAAAAGTCAAGACTCTTCCCAGCTCTAAGCTCAAGGGCCCCTGCGAGCACTGTCTCACCTGCCTATTGAGAGTGATGGCACTTGGCTGACACTTTGTACAAATGCCTTCCGGCCAAGGAGGGTGTCCTTCACAGCCCGATTTGATCTTGCAGCTGATGTTTTCCAGGGCAACAAATTTCCCCCTGCAAGAAGGAAAAGAGAAGGCTGCTGTTACCATGGTAAATGCTTCTGGGTCTCAAAAAAAAAACCCACAAACAAACAAAAACAAGTGGACAGAAAAATAACAGAGGAAGCAGGGCAGAGGAGACACGGTGACACCGATGCTTTGCATCTTCCAAGGATCTCAAAGTGCCCCTCCAAACTCCTTGGGGACGCAGGAATTCTGCAAGTCCCCAGGTGACCTCTGCTGCCCACTTAGTGAGGCAGGTCAAGAGGCTGACACGTGCTCCCCAGCCCACCTCCTAATCAGGTACTCAAGCAAGAGAAGACAGAGAAAACTCATGGGATCCAGCTTAAATAATTGATGCAGCGCGTGGCAAGTAATAGATTATATCGCTAGGGCAAATTAAAGCTCCTTTCATGTGCACAAAGCTTCCTGTAAAGGGAAGTTCCTTTCAAATCAAAGTGTTATGGGCCTGAGCTACATCTCATGAAAACATTTAAAAATTCCCAACAGCATTTAGGAACGGGAGGGAGAAGGTTACATCCCCACATCATTTATTTAAAGGAGCTGCATTTCAGAAAAGGGTGGGTTCACCAACAGCACCAAAGGAGACTTCAGATCCTTCACAGAGCATGTGTGCCACAGCGAGGCATCAGAGGCTGAAACAAATCCTGCTTTCTGTGCCTCCTCTTTGCTCAGTGCTTATCTGGCCTGTGTCACCGCAGCATCCTCAACCCCATTAAGAGGCAGGGATGCCTTGTTTCCCATTAGTAGGTGGTGATCCATGGCTCCACAAGAGAGGGTTTCTGAGAGCGTGTGGAGCATGGTGCAGAACAGAATCAGACCCCGAGGAAGCCTCAGCAGCCTCAACGCCTCTCCACAAGGTTGAGACCCAGGCTTGGAGCTCGGTGTAATTAGGGAACCTCTTACCTTCCATCTGGCCTCCTCTCCCCCATCAGTAGTGTTCCTGGAAGCAATTAGTTTGCCACACGCACAAAAAAATATCCACAACCAAAAAACGTATTTAAAAACATAAAAAAGTGTGTTCTCCTCAGTTTGACATTCGTAAGCTGTATCCAACATTACTCCAGTGAGAACTGTGTGGGATTTATTTTTTTAAAAAACAAACAAAAAAACCCCTACAACTAGATTCCCTTAAACACCGAGATTTTCTTACTTGTCTGCCCCTCCGGTCAGCTTCCTGATGTAGGCATGGAACGACATATGCTTCACAGGAGGTTCCAGATGGTTTAAATAATCCTCATCAAAAGGCTGCCAAAAACACCACACAAAGAAAAGCCAGGTCAGACACCTGTCTGATCATACATTGATCGCTCAACAAATGGATGTTCTAGATTCAACCCCACCGGCTCTCAATGTGGAAGCAATCAAGAAAATTTAGGCTCTTTTTCAAGGCAGCTACTACTGTGACAGAAACAGTGGGACTTTACAACAGCGAGTTTTATTATCGCCTCCTACTTTTATAACAGATTGGCTCCACAAATCAGAGTGAGCCTCAAAGGCAAAACGCTTTTTCCTTTCAATATGTAACAACAAACAAAAAGCCCAGCTGCTCAAATACGGCCAAAGAACTTCCAGAGCACACGGCAGGGAAGCAGGGGAACAGCCAGCCTGGCTCGCAGAGACTTTTCAGGGATCACTGCTTCGTGCCATAAATTACACAGCTTAGCACGTTTGTAGGCGTCGCTAACGCTGCCTTCAACCTGAATAATGTGTGGTTAAACTGGGAAGTGCTGGGCTGCGTGAAGAGAGGGGCTGAAACAAGAAGACTTGGGCAAGAGCGAAGAGGGAGGAAAATTGGAGCTGTGCTGCAGCACCTTCTGTTAAAACCATTACCGCAGAAAAACAGAGCATTAACCAGGACAAAGCCAGGGTCACGAAGGAGCTTCAGCTGTCCTGGACGGGAGCACACGGCAGGGCTCTGACTCAGAGCTGCCATCTCCGTGTGGGCAGCGCCACGAGGAAAAGCATTCAGACTGCAAGAAACCGAGCCCAAGAGCTTTGGGTGACACGCTCCCGTGTGCCTTTCTGGGGGCTCTTACCTCTAGTGGTACACAGTGCACGCATTTACCCAGGGGGCCGTGGCGACACCTACGCAAAGAGAAACAGAATTAGCACAAGAAAGGAAAAGTTAATCTGCGCTGACTTGTACAGTTTAACAATTTTGGTGTAAAAGCTCTGTAAAATCACATTACCCTGGGCAACCCCCCCGCCTATTAGGGGATATTACAGAGCCATCATCACAAAATAATTTTGTGCACGGAGATGGCAACAGCTTGAGTTTAAATGTGAGAGTCCCAGGTCAAGATCAAACCCTCCCGATGTCCGTGCCACTGGCAAACAGCTCTGCTCTGAACAACCACGTGAACCAGGGGCAGATCACAGCTTCTCAAGTTTTACGACCCCACGTTGAGGTTGTATTTCAATTCAAAGCATTTTGAACGTGTGTCACAGGGCCGGCCTGTGTAAATTCAACAAAAAAGGCAACCAAAACATTCATCCTTTATCAGGCACCGAGGACGGTCTGGAACAAACAGGGGAGCATGTGTTTATCGGACAGACAAAGACCTGCTGGGTGAAGTTACAAAACAGCGGGGAAAGCATCTCCTTCCCGAGGCAATCAATTTAAACCTAAAAAAGAACAAAAAGGCACCACGAAACCCTGCACCTCTGCCCCAGCACTAGGAACAGGTCAGTGCTAGTTTTCCAAAGAAGGCCTCTAGAGAGCAGTATGGATGTTGGCTCTTCTGAAGACGAGATGGATGGGATCCAGTTGCAGCATTGCTTTTAACAAAGTATTGTGGCAGATAATGTACATAAAGGACCACTAAAGGCTGCTAATGCACTCCGCCGAACGCCAGCATCCCTTCATGTTTAGATTGATATGCACTCACAAATACAGGAACAAGCCCAGACACACACTTTTTATCATAAATATCCGCCACTGGGCTTTGGCTCCCTGCTAAGAACAATACCTTCATTTATTCTTTTGAAAAATGCGGTCAAGTTAAAGACAATGTTTTTGCCACGGAGTGGTGGGTTTCGCCTTTATTGTTTCAGTAATGTGACATTTCCCTCATTTATCATCAGCCTGAGAAGGTTAGATAGGATTTTCCCCGTAAAGGCTGCCTCCCTCCAAACTTCCTCGCTGCTGCAGCACCAAAGATAAACCACATGGAAGACGACACAATGGGGAAGGGTGAGCTCCTCTGTCTTAGAAAGAATTCCTGGGTGCCTTTAAAATTTTTTACTCAAGCCCTTTCAGGAGCTACTTTGCAGAGGGGCCTAGCCCCAAGCCAACAACCAGCACAGCCGTCAGGCCAGGAGCCAACTGGGACGTTGTTAACAATGAGCCACAAAAAACAACCATCCAGACAGAGGCCATTTTAGCAGCATCAGTGCAGATTTATGGGGGTATTAAGTCACCATTGTATTATTGCTTGTACAAAAATACAAGCTGCTTTGTTTATCTAAGCCCCTCGCAGCTAAGGGGTTTGGCAAAGTTAAACTTCGCTGCGTTTCTGCGAGCAGAACGGACTCCCTGGTTTCAGAGAAAGGTTAAGAACAGCACGTGATGGAAAGGAAGCCAAAAACCGAGCGGAGGCAGGGACCCGAGTCCAAATTCCACATCTCTGACACTGGATGAGGCTTCCACTCGTTCCCCTCACTTCTTTGTTTTTCCTTTATAGGGAGTGGCTGGATGTGAAGCCACAGAAGGGCTCCAGCTCGGGACACCTTGGTGACGTGCCTCACGCACAGCTCAGCGCTGCATGGAGCGGGGAGAGGCACGAGATCTCCGAGCTCTGCTCTGGCAGAGGAGCTGTTGGCGATTCACAAACCAAACCTTGCTGCTTTATCACCTCTCATGCGAGGTGGGGACCTGGCCCTGCTGCTCTGCACGCCTGCCACCTCGGGACCAGCCAGCGGGGAGCCTCATGTTGGGACCAGATGGGACAGAAGCTAGCAGAGCCTTGGAAGCAGCGTGCCACACACGCAGCACGAGCCAGCACTTCCCCACGGCACCACCAGCTGCCAGGACATCCCGGGGAAGAATTCAAAGTATTCCTTTTAATCTGGAGCTCCAAATGTTTCAAGAGCACAAAATATACGATCGCAAGTCCCCGAACAGGGGCCACCTTGATCAAAACAATAGATGCTCTGAACGAGTCCTTCCTGGCAAAGACCCTGGAATTTTGGTATCTGCTTCCTTCCTCAGCTCGCCAGAGCCTCCGCTTAACCTTGCAGGACAATGGCGAGAGCTGTTTTCCCTTGTGAATGTTTCAAAGCGAGGGATAAAGCAGCGGCTCGGGCAGCAGTTCCCAGAGCACGCTTCCTGGCTGCTGGTTTTGGGCAAGATGTCACCGTCAGGGGAGGTGCAGACACACCGGTGGAACAGCAGCCCGCGGTACTTACAGCTGCTGGTCTCGATTTCGGTAAATCTTCCCGTCCTGTTTGATCAGATACTGGTCGATCTCATCTTCCACCACCTGGGGGGCCCCCGCAGGCCGCAAGCTTTGGGAGACAGAGGTGTCCATGGTCTCTGAGGAAGAGCCCGCTGGGCTCGAGGGGTAGAGAAACAGCATATCGCCGTGCCTGGGGGGGAGCAAGAACAACACGAGGGTGTCAGCGGAGCACGAACCTTGCCTCCAAGGCTGGGGTGGGAAGCCAGGTGAGGAGCCTCACGCTGTGCTCAGGCAGCTGGAAAGGCTCCTGCTCTGCCCTCTCCACCAGCCCCTTTCAGCAGGGACTGAGCTACGCCAGATCTTCACCCTGACCACTTGAAGGAATCATCTTTTTTGCCCTACATAGCGTAGGAGATGCTGTGTGCTCGGCTTGCTGCATGTTACAAACCACACCCGTGTCCACACGCACCTCCAGCGCCTGCTTCTGGGTAGCAAAACCCCCCAAAACCATGGAGCAGTGCGTGATTTATCACAGGCTGCAGGCAGATTAGTGAACGTGGCTCTCCTAGCCATTAGCTACCTTCGTCTCCTGCCTCAGGTGTTCGCACAAAGACAACTTTTCGTCAGCAAAGACCAACAGAAAAGGAGGAAGGAAAAAGTGGAAGGAGCCCAAGGAGAGAGGCAACAGCTCCAGCAGGGGAAGGGGCTGACGTGGATCCTGCACACGTCGGCACAGCCCTCCCAGGGCAGCTGCCAGCGCTGGCACATCCAAGTGACAAGCTGCACACAGCAGGAACAGCTCTTATATTTTAAGTTGGTATAACATTATTCTTGACTTTAACAGAACAAAGACGTTCCCAACCAAGCACAAGGTGCGTGCACCATGTGGCACCTCTGATCTCCCCAGGGACCTGGCTACGACAGGAACAGGAGAACAGGAACCCTGGCTTCTGCGCAGGGGATTATCAGCCTGGCACTGATGCAGGAAAAAAAACCCAAAGCGCAGCGTGAGCGAGGGCAGGGATGAGGGAGCTCGCTGCAGGCTGCAAAGGAGCAAAGAGCAGCCTGGTGCTGCCTCCCCACAAGCAAACAGAGGCAAGAAGAGAGCTCAGAAACGGCTGCCACAGCCCGACGCCTCGTCAGTTTGCTCCCCCCCCATTTCTGCACGTCTGCCAGGCTCTCCTCTCCGAGTAGCTGCTGCTGAGTGACCTCTGAAAGCTGAGGCCTGCGGTAACGTGATAGCTCCTGCTGCTGCCCAGCTCGGGGGGGGGAGGAAAAAGAGTTCAGACAGGCTGAGAGAAGAGGCACCCTGCTGTACAAAGCTCCCCCTGCACCCCCAGCACTCTCTGTCAGGACTCACTTGATTTTCAGTAAGTTGAGGGATTTGTTTTGTGATGCTGTGATCTCTCCTGTCCTGTTTCTATTGGTGTAGACAGAAAACCCATTATTCCTGAAACCAAATTCTTTTGCAACCTGAAAGAGAAAGAATGGCAAAGTTTAAGATACCTCACACCCCGGGTCAGGTGCTGAAAGCTGCTCAGAGCAAGCGCTAAGTCCGGGGAACTTCTATTGCAAAAGCTTAGCTGAATTCATCCTCTTTTCTGAAGGCACAGGGAAACTGAGAAAAACAGAAAGACTCAGAAACACAAGCAGTTTGTTAAAAAAGCAACTGAAACAGAAAGCGATTCTCGCTCCTACCACACAAATACAGTGTAATAACTGAATCTGGGCAAGCTGTAATGACTCGGGGGGGGGGAACCATCCTCTGTTACCCCAGTGCTCCCACTCCAGCCTTGCCAGCACGCACCACGCTGCTCTCATCTTCCTACGACCAGGATTTCTTGGCCCAGACCTTTGTCTCCGATGACAGACTTCAGTGTTTTTGGAGGAGACAAATCTCACAGCCCTTTAACAAAAGGCTCCAGCTCCTAGCTCGACACTAACCATGATGTACCTGAGGGTTTACACTTTTATTATCCAACAAGACGTGCTCCAAAAGACAAAGAGCCACGATCAAGGAGCCCCTTAGTCTGAAAGGCGTTAAAATCCACGGCCATTAACCTGCACAGATCTGTGGTGGAAGAGCAAAGCTGCAAACCCTCTACCAGGAAAGAAACCCAAGCATTTCTTTTATTCTGCTCTGCACGAGGGTGCAGTTTTCCCCTATCAGCAGACGATTTCAGTGAGTGCTGCTGCTTTTGTTCCAACGGTCGCTGCGAGCACAATTGTTCCCTGCTCCCTCTGGCAACAGGAGCCCCTGAAACTGAGCGGCGTGTCCCAGAGGTTTTGAAAGCAAAAAAACTTTTTCCTTGGGTGGGACTGTTCAGAGAGCAGTGGTATCTCTGACCCAGCCCCGAAATCCATCAGGATTTTGCTTGGTCAGGAGGGGATCGCTGCTGTGGTCTGGGGACAAGTGCAGAACAAATCAAGTGACCTAAAACCAGCAGAACTTCAGTCTGCTCCCCTTCCTCCTTGCAGGGGGAAAGGAAACCCAGCTGCCCAGAGCGGCCCTTCTCTTAGGAAGGAAAGAAATCCTCACCTGGGGGTTCCAGGAGGGGAGGAAACGGAGAACTGCGAGCTGCAGCCACCCCCAACCTGACAGTTTGCTGTGTTCCTCACGCCTCGGGGTGGAAACCTGCCCCAAAAGGCCCCAGAGGCCCTCAGCTCCCTTTCCAAACTCGCCTTCACCACCTGCCTGCTCTCTCCAGAACGATAATGGAAACCTGGCAGCATGCAAAACGCACCCAAATGGCACCGAAAGCACAAAGGACGCAGCTGAATCACAACTGGATCGTGCTGAAGAGGCCAATCCCCCGCAGCAGCCTTTGGTTCCCAAAATCTCCCCTGTGCTGCTGCCAGCCTGGGCTCCCCCAGCCGCTGGGACAACACAAAATTTGTTGTCCTGTCGCAGGAAAGCTCCTGCCCCAAGGATCCCAACCGAAAAGCTGAGAAGTTTTCCTCTTTAAATTGGTTATTTATCCCTCTGGAGTTACAACGAGGGATCTAGTTTCGGCTCTATCAATAAAAGCACTTTTCCACAGCTGGGCAAAGCACGTGCTGGGCTCGGCTACCTTCTTGAGGAACGTGGCCACGGTCTCGCGCTTGGTGGCCGTGATGCGCTTCACCCCGTCTGGAGACTGCACGCGGATGATCTGTGGGGAAAAGAGGACAGCCCCCGTTAGCTGTGGGGACACAGAGCCCACCACTCCAGCACAATTAATCCCCCCCGCACCAGTTTTTAACGCTGCTCCTCGTCAGAGCACAACCACACCGGGCAGTAATTCCCTCCTGCGTGGCATTACACGCCCAAGGATTAATTACCCTAATGGACGAGGCCCTGCGAGAAGCTGGCAGGGAAAATAAAACGCTAAAACTGCTTTTTGTTTTGTCACAGCTCTGCCCTCGGACGCGGAACCAAACTTTTAGGACAAGGGTGGATCAGAGCTGCTCCGGGAGGGACGCATCCAGCGCCACAACCACCGGCCGGACCGGTGCCGACGGGCTCCAACCCTCGTTAGTGGCGTGCAAATTGCATGGCTAATGAGGGGACGCAGAGAGGAACATCCTGCGTTGGTTTATAATGAAGAGACACGAAGCCAGGAAACGTTCTGCGTTGCTTTTGATGAAGCGTTAAGTCAGAAGTGGGGGAAAAACGGCAACTTTGGGGGGTAAAAAAAATATATATACACAAAAATTGGGCATAGATGTGGTAATAAAGGGCTGGGGAAGCAGCGAATGTAAACGCTGGTGTCCTCAAGCTCCCTGCTGCAGCCTTAAGTCAGAAATGGGGGGAAAATGGCAAGTTTGAGGGCTAAAATATAAAAATATACACAAAACCTAGGCATAGAAGGTGGTAAAAAGGGCTGGGGAAGCAGCAAATGTAAACACCGGTGTCCTCAAGCTCTCTGCTGCAGCCTTAAAGTCAGAAGTGGGGGAAAAACGGCAACTTTGGTGTGGCGAAATATAAAAATATAAAGAAAAACCGGGCACAGGAGGTGGTAAAAAGGGACGGGGTGGCAGCGAGCGTAAACACCGCTGTCCTCACGCTCCCTGCTTGAAGTTTAAAGCCGGAGACGAGGCAAAAACGGCAACTTTGGTGGGCGAAATATAAAAATATAAACAAAAACCGGGCACAGGAGGCGGTAAAAAGCAGCGAACGTCAACGCTGCCCCCCCGGGACCGGGCAGGACCCCCCTGAGGGGGCTGCCAGGGGGCAGAGGAAGGCCCCGGGGCTCGGGGGGGGCCTCCCCTTACCCCCCCCAACCCCCCCCCCCCACCCCCGGGGCCTTCCCCGCCGCCCCCCCCCGGTTTCTGCTGCCTCATCGCCCCTCCCCCGCCGCCGGGCCCCACTCACGATCGTCTCCGCCATCTCGCCGCCCTCCGGGGCCCTCTCAGCGCTGCCCCCGGCCCCCCCCCGCGCCGTTCCTTGAGGCCCAGGCCGGTTCCGTTCCCCTCCCCCCCCCCGCTCCGCTCCCGCCGCCGCCGCCGCCGCCGCCCCCAGGGCCCGGTCCCGGCCCCGCCGCCGCCGCTGCCCGCTCCCCTCAGGCCTCCGGGTGGGTCCCAACCCCCGGCCCCCGCGTTCCGCCGCACAAAGGTTCCTAGGCGGGGCGGTCCGCCGCCACAGCGTTCCCCCATGGAGGCGCGGTGCAACCGCCTAACCCGCCCCCCTCAACCACATCGCCTATTTTTTCGTTCCGGATACAAACAGTCCCCCGTTCCTAATCTTCCTCCTCATCCTCATCCTCCTCTTCCTCTTTCCTCTTGCTTTCCCCCACACGTTGGGGGAATCCCCAAGGGGTCAGAAAACCACGGGGTGGGCTCAGATTGGGTGCGGATCCTCGTCCCCTGCTCGCCCCCGCTGCCCCTCTAATGGCGGTCCTGTACCCACCCTGCCAAACCTTCACCACCCGCCACTGTGGGGGCTGCAGGGGGGTGGCTGAGTGGGCCCAGCTGCGGTGCTGGGAGCTGCAGCCCTATTTAAGGCCCGGCCGCAGCCTCTCACATGATGGGAGTGTGACTGCAGCAGCCCCGGGGAGCAGGATGGCGCCGCTCAGGGAACGGCTGTCCCGGCTCCTCAGCCCCCACAGGGCGGGGGGCAGCGGGGAGAGCAGCCGGCTGCTGCCCCAGGTAACCCTTAGGACCCCTGTCCTGGCCTCTGTGGGGTCCTTGGGGTGGCTCCGTGTCCTGGGCCTGGGGGGGGGGGGGGCTGGGTGCTTCCTGGGCACATATGGGTGCCTGCATCCCTGGGGGTCCCCATGGGGATGAGCTGGGGGTCCCTGTAGGGGGCAGGGTCTATGGCAGGGCTCCCTTGGGGGTGGATGTAGGGTGCCCCATCCCCACCTCACCCACACCCCATTGGGGTTATGGGGTGGCTTTGGGAACCCCCAGCTGCCTTGTGCTTGGTGTACATAGGGAATGTGAGGGCTGGGGGCCATTATGGGGGTGTTTCTGGGGGTCTGCAGGCCCTACAGTCACCACGGGGGCTGTGTCTTTGCCCCATGCAGGCAGCCAGGCTGGTGGAGCTGCCCTACCCCTCTGATGATGATGACGATGATGAAGGCTTGCAGCTGGGGGACGTGCACCTTTCTGTGGCCGAGCAGCACCCCGAGGAGTGGCACCCCGTCCCCCAAAAACCGGGCGCCTTCAGCCACTGCGTGCGGTACCTGGCCTTCCTCTGGAACCTCCTCTTCCTCCTGCTGGGCCTCCTGGCCCTAGGAGTGGGGGTTTGGGGGCTGCTGGCCAAGGGGTCCCTACAAGACGAGCGCCTGGCCCTGCTGGGCTCTGACCCCATGCTGCTCTTCGTGCTGGTGGGGCTGGGGGCCAGCGCCGTGTCCCTGGCCGGCTGCCTGGGGGCCCTGCGCTCCAGCGCCTGCCTCCTGCGCTTTTTTGTGGGGGCCGTGCTGGCTTTTGTGGGGTTGGAGGTGCTGGGGGGGCTGCTGCTGCTGGCGGCGAGGCGCCGGCTGCGGGATGCCCTGCGTGCCGCCCTGCTGCTCTGCCTGCTGCGCTACCAGCACGAGCCCGACCTGCGGCTGCTGGTGGACGAGGTGCAGCGCGCCCTGAGCTGCTGCGGGCTCCGATCCTACCGAGATTGGGAGAGCAACCCGTGAGTTAAGATTTAGGAGGGTTCAGGGGGTGTCCTCGCTGCAGGAGGGGGGCGAAGACTCGGTGATTTCTCCCCGTTCCTCCCGCAGGTATTTCAACTGCAGCGCCCCGGGGGTGCAAGCCTGCAGCGTGCCCTCCTCCTGCTGCCTGCAGCCGCTGCAGAACGGCTCCGTGCCCAACGAGCAGTGCGCCCGCGGGGTGCTGAGCCTCGGGGACGTGGAGGCGGCCGGCGTCGTGCACCTGGGGGGCTGCGTGGTGCAGCTCGGAGCCTGGCTCCGCAACCAGGCGGGCGGCATCGCCAGTGGGGCGGCCGTACTGGTGCTACTGGAGGCTGCTGGGCTGCTCATGGCGCTGAAGGTGCTCGCAGACATCGCGCCCGGTGGCGTGCAGGGGTGAGGGGGAGCTGGCTGCCATCACAAGTGGGGGATGCTTAGCACGGTGGGGGGCCTCCGTGCTCTCCATCTGCCCTTTGTTGGTGTCCAGAATAAAGCTCTGCAGAGGCTGAGCCCCCACCGTGTCCTTATCCCATTATTGCATCCCCTCCTGCTGGATCCCTGCACCCGTGGAATGAGGAGACGCCTCCCAGCCCCGTCCCCGCCAACCCCACACCATGACACCACGCTCCTGCACTCATTTTGGGTTTTAATGAGTATTTTTTTCCAGGCTGTGCCCTGCTATGCAAAGGGGGCAGCTCCTAAACAAGCAGTGCTATGGGGTGAATGGGCTGCGGTGGCCGTGGCCAGCCTAAATGATGCCGTACTGAGCCAGCTCGTGCAGCTCCAGGTGGCTGAAGGCTTCCCAAGGGCAGATCACGGTGATATCTGGGGAGAAAAGAGGCTGCGTCAGCACAAAACCCACCCTGGCAGCAGCGGCTGTCCCCGCAGGGCACCTTGCTGCCCCAATAGATTTGGGATCGGGACCCCGTACCTGTTCCCAGCCCTTCCATGCCCGGGATGTCATCGCCGAACCTGCAAAGAAAGCGAGGCTCAGTCCCCCCCTGACCCGTGCCACGCTGGGACCCCCATCCGTGTCCCCGCATGGGGTCCCGCTGCCCGGCCCCACTCACCCCTGCACCCCCTTCTTGGGTGGCTTGCTCTTGAACTGCCTCGTCTGCCTCTGCTTGAATTTGGGGGGTCCTTTCCGGGGGGTGGCGGGTCCCCCGGTCACCCTGGTGGCCGACTTGATCTCCGGTTTGTGGGGCTCCAGGCTCATGGCTGTGCCGGGGCCAGCAGCCTGCCCCGGGTCGCGGCTGTCCCTGCGGCTCCGGTGCTGGCACGGGACGGCTCCTCAGACCTGCTGGAGGGGAGATTTGGGGCATGGGGGGCTCCAGCTGCAGCCCCCTCACCCAGCCCAACCAGCGAGGGGCCACACGGTGCCTTTGGGGTGCTCCCACCCTGCCCTGAGCCCCCCCTGGCTGTCGTTGATCAGCTTTCTGTGCTCACCCTGGGGGAGAGCCCCCTCCGTGCCCCTTTCGTCCCCACAACCTGGAATTAGCCCAGCTCAGAGCCCGCTAATCCCCTTACCCCAAAGGCAGCGAAGGGCACGCCGAGCCCCTGCGCTCGTTGGGCAGTGCACGGGGTCCTTGCCCCCCACCCCAGGGTGGATGTGGCACCCCGGGACCCCTCGCTGGCACCACCCCAGGGGCTGTGCCAGGCGCTGAAGGTGCCACCAAGAGCTGGTGACACTGCAGCCACAGGGACCGAGGTGTCCCTTGGGGTTTGTATGCAGCAGGATGGCGCAGACCCCAGTCTGGCCACGGGTTTCAGGGCAAGGAGCTGCAAAAATCCCAAACCAGAAATCCCAGGGCAGCTCCATCCCTCCTGTGCCTCCCCGAGACGTGCCCGGCGCCGCAGATTTTCGGCACCGAGACCGCTCCGGCTGCGGGCTCGCTGGGACCCAGCACGGAGCTGTTGGGTTTGGCTCCAAATTTTGAGCACGGGAGGCGAACGCAGGCTCTGTCCCGGCACATTTTTTGTGTGGGGTGCCCCAGGTGGCAGAGCTGTCACTTACGCAGGAGTTGAAGTCCCCAAAGGCCAGCGCTGCTCCGCAGGACCCCCTCCGCCTGCTGCCGCGTGTCCTATGGGTGCTGTGCGTGGCGGCTGGGGGCCGGCGGATTTTATCCTGCCCCGGGGTAATAGGATTAAGTCCCTTCTCCTCAAATGGGTAATCTGCTGTCCTTCCCCCTGCTCTGCGCCGGGGGGGCCGGCAGCGTGCGTGTGGGGAGGGGGTGTCGGGATTACCGGGGTGGGGACGGGACGGGCGTCAGCCCCACGGTGAGGGGCAGGGAACGGCAGCAAAGAGCCCACGGTGGGGGGGGGGTCCCCATGCCTTGAGCTGTAGGGATGGGGGGGCTCAGTCCTGCAGGGCGTGCTCGGGATGGCATTTGGGGACACGGGCACCAAATGTCCCAGAAGGGTGAGGCAAAAAAGTGTGGCCAAAACCCCTCCAGCACGGTGTTGGCACCGGGCGCAGCGTGCCTATGACAGCAGGGGCTGGGGGGGGGGGCTCCTGGGGGGCTCCTGCTGTCCCTGTCCCCATCTCAATCCCATCCCCAGCCCATCAGGTGCATGAAACACGAGGCCAGCAGCTAATCCCAGGTGGCACCGCGGACATCCAAGCATGGGGACAGCCTGAGCACCGCCACAGGCACCCCAGGACAACCGCTCTGTTCCCGAACCCAAAAACTGCCCTATTCCCGACCCCAAAACCTGGGGGAAAAGGGCCCTGCAGCCCGGCAGTATCACTCCCAAGCCTGCCGTAATCCCGGCCCTAAAGCAATTACAAAAAGCCATAATCTCAGCACACTTTAATTGACCGCCAGCCCCCTTCCAGCGATGACAATTAGCCGGCCTTCCCCAAATTGGATTACGTGGCTCCGGGAGCGTTTCACCCCGAACCGGCCACCAGCCCAGCAAAGGCCAGGGCCCTGCTGTTAATTACCCAGGGCCCTACTGTTAATTAATTACCGCTGCCAGAACGAGCTTCGTTAGCGCCGGGCCGATTTCGGGGCCTAGCAGTGCCCTTGGCGAGCTCACCCAAGGGAGGGGGGGATGGGGATGGGGACGGGGATGGGGCCGGCTCCTGCCCAGGCCACGCGTCAGCGGGCTGAGACCCTGCTCATCCCGCTCGGGATTTAGGGAGGGGACGCCTGAAGGTGAAGTTTAAGGGGTTTTAGGGCAGAGACGAGCGGGGAGGAAGAGGCACCGAGAGGAGAGGCGCCGCGGAGCCGGGCGCGCTGCCCTTGCGGGGCCCACGTGCGCAGGCCGCACGCTGCAAAATCCTACACCAAGGGGGGGAAACGGGCACGGAGAGGCCCCCGGGGGGACGCCTGCCCCCAGCCCCCGGTGCTGACGGGCCCCTAAGAGGCTTAGCGGGGCGGTGTGACACCGAGCCACGGCCCCCGGCCGCCACCGCGCTCCTTGCACGCCACAAGGACGAGGCAAGGGGAAAATCCCTGCCTGGTGTGGGGGGGGAGAAAAGTCCTTTTTTTGTGTTCTTTTTGAGGAAAATTGGTTGGGAACAAGTGTTGAGGGGCTAACGGGACAGCTCCTGGTCCTACCTGTGACAGCAGAGGGGTTTCGGAGTGGTTTATCAATAGGGCGACTGGCGCTTTGTATATAAATATAAAAATAAAATATAAATATATACATATAAAATAAAATATAAAATATAAATATAAATAGAAAAATAAAAATAAATAGAAAAATAAATAGAAAAATATAAATAGAAAAATATAAATATAAATAGAAAAATAAAAAATATATAAAATAAATATAAAAATGAAAATAAAAATAAATAGAAAAATATATAAAAAATAAATATAAATATAAAATATAAAAAATATAAAATAAATATAAAATAAAAATAAATATAAAAATAAAAATATAAAATATATAAATGTAAATATAAATATAAATAGAAAAATAAAAATAAATATAAAAATATAAAATAAATATAAAATAAAAATAAATATAAAAATAAAAATAAATACACACATCTCTCTCTCTATATTACTTTTTTATATATAAATATAAATATAAATCTATAGGGCTCGGGGAAGCAGAAGCACCAGGCCCCGGGCACCGACGTCCTGTGGGGACCCCCCGGTGCCTGGGCACCCCGAACAAACCCAACCCCGACCCCACAAAGCCCCCGGGGGGGTGGGTTTTTGGGGCTCAGTCCTTCTTGGCGCGCAGCCTGATCTCCGTCCTCAGCAGCATTTTGATGCTCTCGTCCTGCACGTGCCTCTCCACGGCCTCCAGCGCCCGCTCGCCCCCGTCCCCGTAGTGCCGCAGCAGCCGCTCCACGTGCTGGATCCACACGCAGTTGGCGCAGCCGCTCATGCAGCAGTTGCTGGGGGGCTCCAGGTCGGGGGGGGGGGCGGAGAAGGGGGTCTCGGACCCCTCATCCCCTGGGGTCTCTGCCCGGTGGTCGCTCCCTGAGGGGTCCGAGCCCCCCTCGCCGCTGTTGTCCCTTCCTGGGGTGTCTGAGCTCATCTGGTGGGTGTAGGTGGTGGTGCCCGGGTGGGGGGCTCCAAGGTGGTCCTGTTGGGGGGGGGTGGTGGTGGTGATGGCAGGGGTTGGGGGCTGCCCCCCCAAATCCCCCCAGCACCCCCTGAGCCAAGCAGTAAGCCCTCCTGGGTGCCCCCAGCCCCACCGAACCTCCCCTCAGCCCCAGCCCGTCCCTGCCTTCTCCTCCTCAGAGCCCCCAGACCCCTGGGGTAGGCACAGCAACCCCAGTGCAGACCCCAGACCCCCATGCACAGCCCCCAGACCCCATATGGAGCCCCCTGACCCTATATGGAGCCCCCTGACCTCCCAGTGCAGCCCCAAACCCCTCGTTGCTCCACCAGACCCCCCTGTGCAGCCCCCAGACCCCCGTTTACTGCCCCCAGACCCCATATGGAGCCTCCAGACCCCCATATAGAGCCCCCAGACCCCCATTTACTGCCCGCAGACCCCATGTGGAGCCCCCAGACCCCCATTTACTGCCCCCAGACCCCATACGGAGCCCCCAGACCCCCATTTACTGGTCCCAGACCCCATACGGAGCCCCCAGACCCTATAGGGAGCCCCCAGACCCCCATTTACTGCCCCCAGACCCCATACAGAGCCCCCAGACCCCCATATGGAGCCCCCAGATCCCCATTTACTGCCCCCAGACCCCATACGGAGCCCCCAGACCCCCATTTACTGCTCCCAGACCCCTATGAGGAGCCCCCAGACCCTATAGGGAGCCCCCAGACCCCCATTTACTGCTCCCAGACCCCTATGAGGAGCCCCCAGAGCCCATACAGAGCCCCCAGACCCCTATTTACTGCCCCTAGACCCCATATGGAGCCTCCAGACCCCCATATGGAGCCCCCAGACCCCCATTTACTGCCCCTAGACCCCATGTGGAGCCCCCAGACCTCCATAAAGAGCCCCTAGACCCCCGTTTACTGTCCCCAGACCCCATAGGGAGCCCCCAGACCCCCATTTACTGCCCCTAGACCCCATGTGGAGCCTCCAGAGCCCCATAAAGAGCCCCCAGACCCCCATTTACTGTCCCCAGACCCCATACAGAGCCCCCAGACCCCCATGAGGAGCCCCCAGACCCCATATGGAGCCCCCAGACCCCCATTTACTGCCTCTAGACCCCATGTGGAGCCCCCAGACCCCCATATGGAGCCCCCAGACCCCCATTTACTGCTCCCAGACCCCTATGAGGAGCCCCCAGACCCTATAGGGAGCCCCCAGACCCCCATTTACTGCTCCCAGACCCTTATGAGGAGCCCCCAGACCCCCATGAGGAGCCCCCAGACCCCCGTTTACTGCCCCCAGACCCCATACGGAACCACCAGACTCCCATTTACTGCCCCCAGACCCCATATGGAGCCCCCAGAGCCCATACAGAGCCCCCAGACCCCCATTTACTGCCCCTAGACCCCATTTGGAGCCCCCAGACCCCCATATAGAGCCCCCAGACCCTAGTTACTGCTCCCAGACCCCATGTGGAGCCCCCAGACCCCATACGGAGCCCCTAGACCCCCATGTGCAGCCCCCAGACCCCCATTTACTGCCCCCAGACCCCCATGAGGAGCCCCCAGACCCCTCCCCGCCCACCCCCAAGCCCCCCATTACCCCCCTTGCCCCGCCCCCCGCCCCTTTAACCCCGCCCCCTTTAGGCCCCGCCCCCGCTCACCCCCCGGCTCCCCCCCGCCAGGCCTCGCGCCCCCCGCGCCCCCCGCAGCCACATCCCGCCGCCGCTCCCCTCCGAAGGCCCCGCCCCTTCCCCCATGAGCGGCAGCTCTGTCCACCAATGGCAGCTCGGCTTCCCCGTGCCGCCGACCAATCAGAGCTCGGCGTCTGGGAGCGACCAATGGGAGAGCGGGGGGCGGGACCGGGGCGGGAGGGAACCGGGAAGTGGCGGCGGGGCCCGGCCGCGTGCGGGGCCGGTCATGGGGCGGGGACCGGGAGCGGGAGCGGGAGCGGGACGGGGCCGCGGAGCGGAGAACGGGGCCGGGACCGGGACCGGGAAGGGACGGGGACGCACACCGGCCCCGGTCCCGGTCCCGGCCGCCGGCCCGCCCCGCGGCAGGTCAGTGCCCCGGTGCCCCGGTGCCCCCCGTGCCCCGGTGTCCCCGTGTCCCCGTGTCCCCATGTCCCGGTGTGTGCCACCGTCCCGGTGTCCCCCTGCCCCGGTATCCCGGGGTGCCGGTGTCCCCATGTCCCGGTGCCCCCCGGTGTCCCGGTGCCCCCCGGTGTCCCGGTGCCCCCCCATCCCGGTGTCCCCATATCCCAGGGTGCCGGTGCCCCGGCGTCCCGGTGTCCCCCTGCCCCGGTGTCTTGGGGTAACCGGTGCCCCCATGTCCCAGTGTCCCCATATCCCGGTGTACCGGTGTCCCCCCATGTCCCGGGGTGACGGTGACCCCGTGTGACCCCATATCCCGGTTACCCCCCCACACGTCCCGGGGTGCCGGTGTCCCCATGTCCCGGTGTCTTGGGGTACCAGTGACCCCGTGTGACCCCATATCCCAGTGTCCCCATGTCCCGGTGTCCTGGGGTGATGGTGACCCCGTGTGACCCCATATCCTGGTGTCCCCATGCCCTGGTGTCCCGGTGCCCCCCCGTGCCCACCTCTCCCCCCCCACCCTCCCCGGGCTCCGTCTCCCCGGTTCCATCCCATCCCATCCCGTTCCCGGTTCTGCCGCAGGAAGCGGCGTGCAGGGGCCAACCTGAAGCCCGAGCACCCCGAGGAGCAGGAGATCCCCTCCCGCCTGCGGGAGCTGATGCGGAGCCGCGAGGCCATGAAGAACCCCAAATCCGGGAGGAGGCGGGCGGCAGGTGGGGCACGGGGTCTGCCCCCCCCCCGGGGGTCCCCGGCAGGACGGGACCCCCCCCTTTCAGCCCTAAATCCCCCTGCCCTGTGTCTCTCGCAGGGAAGCAGCAGCAGCCCAAGCCCCCGGCGGCGCACGGGGACATCGCGGTGCCCAAATTTAAGAGGGGGAAGGGGGAATCGGAGCACTCCTACCTCTGCCGCATGGAGCAGGAGGTGCAGCACATCCTCTTCCTCACCAAGAACCAGGTGCAGCGCGAGCCCGAGAAGGAGGCGGCGGCACCGCAGAAATCCAGGAGGAAAAAAGAGTGAGAGCACGGCGGGGGCGGCGGGGACGAGCCCCAGCACGGGGCTGTGCCAGCTCTGGGGTCTCGGCTCCACGATCTGAGCCTCTGCAAGCAGCCCCTGAACCCCCTTTACCCTCCTGCTGCGGGGAGCTTGGGGTCAGGGCGGGGAGGGGAGAGCTGCAGGGCCCTATTTTTGGGGGAGATTTGGGGAGATTTGGTGCCGTACCTGCTCTGCTATCCGCTCGCGAGCCCGGCTCCTCACACGGCTCCCCAGGTTCCAGAAGAAGAAGCTGGACAAAGCCCGGAGGAGGAAGGAGGAGAAGAAAGAGGCTTTGCTGGAGAAGAGCCTGCTGCGAGGTGGGGCTGGGCTGGCACCGGAGGCACAGGGGGGAGGTGGGAGGGGGCGGCAGCGGCGCCCCCCAGCCTGACAGCCGGCCTCTGCTTCTCCCCCAGACACGGTGGCGTTCGGCGAGGTGGTGACGGAGCCGCCCACCCTCACCTCACGGCCCCGCCGCGGGGGTCCCGCCGAGCAGGTGAGCTGCAGAATATGGACCAGGGGTCCTGCCCCATGGCCGTGCCCTCCCGTTCCCTTCGCCCCCCCCTGACCTGCCCCGTTTGTGCCCGCAGGCTGGGCGCAAGCGGCTCCTGCTGGCTCCTCGCCTGGGCCGGGGGTCCCCGGCGGCACCGGTGTCGCTGGCTCGGCAGCGCATCGTGCAGGAGGAGAGGGCGCGCGTCGTGCAGGCCTATCGCGACATCCAGAAGCGCAAACGGCAGCAGAGAGAGGCTCAGGCAGCCCGTGGGGTGCCCGGCTGAGCCCTCCCCTTCGTCCTCCGTCCCGGCGAGGGGGTACAAAACCCCCCCCGGACCCTGACATGGAGCAGCAGAGGGGTGGCAGCCGGCTGGGTGTGCGGCAAGGGGGACATTTAGCCCAGGATGTGACAGGGGGTGGTTGTCCCTGCCCCGTGCTGCTGCCCCGACTGCGCCCGGGGGCTCACAAGAGCCATGCAACCCTCTTGGCACCTGCGCCGCAGCCAGGAGCCTGTGGTGCCATGGACTTTTTTTAAATAAAATGCCATTTTCTGATGGTGCGAGCACGTCTCTGCTTCCCAAACCTCCCCAAACCTTCCCAAACCATCCTGGCACGGGGTCCCAGCTGCGCTTCCTCCCTGCAGGGTGTTGGGGAAGGCGCGGCGCTGTGCCCGTGGTGTGGCGTGCCGGCAGATGGCAGCCCCAGCGTGGGTCCTGGCTGTCACCACGGGCTGGCAGCGCTGGCACCGCGCGCCCTCCGCTTGGGGCAGGACCCTCAGCTGGGGATGTGTGGTGTCACCGTCCCCCGTTGTCACCCCTCGGGGACACAGCTGAGCCCCCAATCCTTCACCATGCTCCCCCTGCCCTCAGCACCACCACCCCACCCTATATCCCTGCCATTCCCTGGGCAGGATCACTGCCCCAGCCTCATCCCCACACCAAAACCGACCCCGCACCGGGGATAACGCCCCCCTGGTGCCCCCTGCTCCCACCCTGAGGACCGGGGAGCGCTCCCGGCACGGCGCAGCCCACGTGCGCCTGCGGCCGCTTCACCTGCGCGGCACAAAGGCAGCGCTGTTCGGCCTCCCCGTGCCACAGCCCCAGCACAAAGCGCTGCCTGTTGCAGCGGGGCCGCCCCGCGCCCTGCGGCCGGCGGTGTCCGGGGGCTCCCGTGGTGCCGGGGGGGGGGCCAGGGGCACCGGTGGCAGCAGGGACGGCACGGCCCAAACCAGCCCCGGTGTCCTTGCGCAGGGCTGAACGGGGACAGTGTCTGCGCGCCCTGGTTTTGGGGTGTCTGCTGCCCCCAGGGGTGCCTCCTCTGCGCCCCCCCAGCAAGGCGGTGCTGTGCCATGGCTGGATGCATGCTGGGGACTGCGCTGTCCCCATCCTGGTGTCCCCATCCTGGTGTCCCAAGGGGCAGCTGCTGCTTGCCCAGCCTGGCTCCAGGCCCACGGGGGACACGCTGCGTGCCACGTGGTGCCGGCGGCAGGGAGGAGGGCACGCTGCCGTGGTGGCAGCCCCGGGGACCTTGAGCTCCTGGCGCTGCCTGGAGACGTCCCCGCTGCCTGCTGGCGCCAGGCAAACACGGGTGACGCAGCACGGCCCCCGGGGGCACCGGCAGCTCCCGCAGCAGGGCCGGGCGCCTGCTCCTGCTGCGCACCCCGGTAGCACCCACGGACGTCCCCAACCTTTGGGCACCGACCCCTGCCGGGGCTGTGCCACGTCCCCGCAGCTGGTGGCGTTCCCAGTAGCAGATGGGAAGGTGCTGGCAGGACTGGGGCACGGCGTGTGCGTGCCAAAATCCCGCGCGGGGCACGGTGCTCTCAAGGAGAGCGGGTCACCCGCCTCCCCCAGCCACCGCCACGGAGCCATTTCAGGCCCTGAATAATTCATGGCGCTGCCGCTCGCCCGGCCGCAGGCTTCCTGCCTGGCAGGAGAAATCGCTGCGGAGGGGAAAGGCAATCCGGGCAGGAGAAACCGCCCCCGACCTTGGCACGTCCTCCGCGCCGTGCCGCTTCCCGCCGGGCAGCCCATCTGCCCGCGGGCTGCTGGTCTGTGCCGAGCCTGCCAGCTCCTGGCACGGCTGCCCCGTTTGCAGCCTGGCCCCGGTGCAGGCTCCCCGGGGTGCTCGGGGAGCAGGATCCCAGTTGGGGTCTTGCCCCGTCCCTTTGGGGGATGCAGGGCTGAGCACGATGGCACCGAGGTGGAAGCCCTTGGCTGTGGCACAGCCGGTGACGGAGCAGCGCAGCCGGGTCCCCCCTGTCCCCATTGGGTGGCACCGTGTAGGAAAACTCAACTTTAATGGGTTTGACCTGAAAAAGGGAGAGGAAAAAACAACGAGGGAGCCGGGAGGAGGGGGTCCCAGCTCCGTCGATGCCCCCCCCGAGGGTGATCCCCGAGCCCGGCGCGGGGAGAGAGGCGGAGAGGGAAGGCACCGAGAAGGCGGCCGGAGCCGCGGGGGGAGGCCACCGGGTGCCGGGACCCAGAGCGTCCCCCCCATCCCCTGGTGAAGGGGAAACTGAGGCACAGCGGGGGCAGCACTGGGAGAGCTCGGGGATGGCTCGAGGTCCAGCACAAAGGGGCGCAGCGCCCAGTCCCAGCACCGGGGCAGCCGCCCCGTGCCCCTGGCTGTCCGGCAGCAGTGTCCCTGTCCCCGAGGGGCCGGGTGTCTCACGAAGGCAGCAGTGGGGTGGCTCGGGGTGGCCCCGCAGGAGCCGCTGGTCCTCGTGGCAGGGTGGGCAGCAGGGACGAGGGGAGCCGGGCAGAGCAGGCAGCTTGCGGGTGCCACGGCCGGGCGGCACGGCGCTGGCTCCGGGGCCCCATCCAGGTGTCCCCAGCTCAGGAACCAGCTCTGACGGGGGCGGATGGACGAGGCGGGGAGGGACGAGATCTCAGAGGATCGGGACGGCGGGGCCGTGGCTGTGCTGGCTCCGTGGAACCCGGGCTTCACCACCGGTTCCTGCTGTACGGGGACTGCACCTACGGGCAGAGCGGGATGGCACCGGGCAGGCGTGATGGCACGGCACGGCACGGCACGGCACGGCATCACCCCAGTGCCTGCCATCCCCAGCTCTGCCCTCCCCCGGAGACGTCAAGGCACGGAAAGACTTTGTACCTGGGCAGGAGCCCAACCCTGCTGCCCCCACCCCGGCTCCCTCGTTGCTCATTAACTCACCTGGCCGCTCCGCTGCGCCGCGGCGTGCCGGGCCTGCACGGCGAAGGCGTCCTCGGCTCGCAGAGTGGAGCTGGCGCTGCCCGCGGCCGTGCTGGTGGCGGTGGCGCGGGGCAGGATCATGTCGTAGGGCCCTTCGCTCTGCGGGGGGGAAAATGGGTCCGTGGGGGCACCGGGAGCACCCCCAGCGCGTGGGCGCACTCCCTGCGGGGTCGTGGGGAGCAGCACGGCGTGGGGGGGACCCTCCCCTGCTCCCCATTACCAGCACGTGGGGGGGACCCTCCCCAGTACCCCATTACCAGCACGTGGGGGGGACCCATCACCCCGGGGAGGGGAGGGCTCTCACCTTGTGCATCAGGGCCATCTCCGTGGGCTGGTAGACGCTGGTGAGCAGCTGCCCGTTGTAGCCGCTGTACGGGGACACCGGCTTCTTGGCTGCAAAGAGACGGGGACGGTGAAAACAGGGGGCTCACGCCGCCACCCCCACCCCACCCGGGGCCTCGTTAGCAGGTTTAACGAGCAGCCAGCTGCTCTGCGCCCTTCCCGGGGGGCGGGAGGGACATCCCTCGAGGTTTGCATCACTGCGGGGTGGGGGAGCACCGCCCCGTGTTATTATTGTAGGGTCTCCCCAGCGCCGCCAGCTCGGCGACACGTCCTCCTGTAGGGAGAAGCGCCCGCCCGGGGCGGAGGGCTGGGAGCCGCGGGCACCCCACGCCGGGGAGGGGAGCACCCCCGGAGCGGGTGAGCTCAGCCTAAACTGGTAAACCCAGCCCGGCGTGTTTTGGGGGAGCCACAACAATCGCAGGCCTCGCTCCCAGCCGCCCGGGCGCGTCGCAGCAGCCGTCTCGCAGCCCCGTGCGTCGCGCCACGGTGCCTACCGAAGGAGGGCTCGTCCATGGAGAAGGCTTTGTTCTCCACGAACATGCTCTGCGACTTCTGCTCCTTCAGGATGGTCTCGTAGCCCACCCCCCGCGTGGGGTAGCCGTCGTCCTCGTAGGCTTGCTCGGGGCCCCGCCGCGTCACGTGCGTCACCTCGGGGATGACGTAGAGGAGGATGAAGGCGCAGGCGTTGGCCACCAGCGCGATGGCCAGCGTGGGGTCGTCCCAGCCGGGCTTCTCGCCCGCCCGCTGGTTCCCGTAGAGGTACATGGCCGTCCACGCCACCCAGATGGCCATGGAGAGGCCGGTGGTGGCCAGGATGAAGGCGCCGTGCTTCCTCCAGCGCGTGTAGCGGCCGCAGAGCGCCGGCCAGGCGGTGCCGAAGGCGGCCACCAGCAGCACCATGACGTAGGTGAGCGCCAGGACGAAATCGGCGTCCGCCAGCACGCAGGGGTCCGCGGGGCCCCCCTCCCGCCGCGCCACGGTGATGGTGAGCCACTCGGCGTTGATGATGACCTCCACCAGGGCGAGGAGCAGGGCCACCGCCAGCGTCACCCAGCCCCGCGGGCCCCGGTTCCTCCGCGCTAGGAAGTTGAGGGCGACGGCGTGCGCCAGCAGGCAGGAGAAGCAGAGGCCGAAGAGGACGCCGAAGAGGAAGCGTCGGGAAGCGCAGGTGGAGAAGTTGGGCCCCACGATGAAGTCAAAGGTCAGGCAGAACAGCCCGAAGGTGCCCAGCATGAAGAAGACCTGCGTGGCCACCAGGCTCTTCTTCGGAGGGTCCTGCACGAAGGGCAGGCTGGCCACCAGCACGATGGTGAGCACGAAGCTGGTCACCACGCCGAGGCTGGCCACGGCCTCCACCGCGATGCCCCAAGCCGCCGAGAGGTCGCAGAGGTTGTAGTAGAGCGAGGACAGGTCCTTGCCGCAGCCCGCCAGGGGGGTGCTCTGGGCACGGCCAGGGGGCAGCAGGGCCAGCAGGACGCAGGCAGCCGCGGGCAGCACCCCCGCAGCCCCCATCCTGCACCGTGGGGTGGGCGCTGAGCGCGGCGTCCACGGACCCTGCGGGGAAGAGGAGGCGTTACAAGGAGGCATCTCTGGGATTTGGAGCCCCCTGCTCGCAGTCCCTGGTCCATCTCCCACCAGATCACGGCTGGTGATGGGGTCCCGGTGAGCCCGGGATGTGCCAGCACCACCCCACAGCCCCAAGAAGCTCCGGGTGCAGCCCCAAATGGACCCACATCTCCCACCCCTCCTTGCCTGGACGCGGTACCGTGCCCGGGAGCAACGAGCATGGGTCGGGGCTGGCCGCAGAGGCACCACCGGGGGCCAGGTCGGTCCCCTTGGCACGGCACTGAGCGCGCCGCACGTTCCCCTTTCCACTTCTCCTGTCCCACTTCCCTCCTGTGGCTCCGGGCACTGACCCAGCGCAGGTCCCGTGTTTGGCCCCACACAGCAGAGCTCCCCGCCGCACGCAGCCGCAGCCTGGCACGGCACGGCACGGCACGGCACCCTGGGCACGGGGGTCCCTGGCCCCGCTGCCAGCCCCAAGGAGCGTGGGGTGCCCGTGGGAAGGAGGAAGGTGAAGGGAAAGCTGCAGCCCCCTGAGCCCCCCCCAGCTGGAGGGAGGAAACGGGGCAGGAAACCTGCGACAAGGTCACCTCGGGGCTGGGATGGGGGCGGCGGGGGGCCCACATCGCTGCCCCCATCCCTGCGACCCCCGAAAGCCCCTGAAAGCCCCCTCTGCTCCCCTCCCGGGGCCAGGCACCCCCCCGGTGTCCAGGCTCTGCTCAGCCCCCTCGGGCTGGAGCCACCCCATGGGATAGGGACGGGGAGTCCCGGTACCGGGAAGGGGGGAGGAAAACAGCCCCTACCGCCCCCGGCCCGGCCGGTGCCCCCCACCCCTCGCGGTCCCCCCACGTCCCCGAGGGGTGCCGGCCCCAAACTCGCCCGGAGCCTCCCCAACTTTGAGAGAGCCCCCGGGTGGACGGCTCCCGGTGCCGGTGCCGGTGCCGGCCCCATTTGCGCTCCCGGTGCCGGTCCCGTTTGCGCTCCCGGTGCCGGTTACGCCCCCGGTGCCGGTTCCCGGGTCCATCCCGGTACCGGTGCTGCCCAGCCCCGTAGGTTTCACCCCCTCCCGGCCCCTCTCACCGGCTCCAGCGCCCCGGTGTCCCGGCCGCTGCGCTCCGCTCCGTGCCGAGCCCCGAGCCCGCAGCCCCGTGCGCGCCTGCCCGGCCCGGCCCGGCCCCTCCCCGAGGTGCGCCGCTGCCGGGGGGGCGCGCCCGGGACCTGCCCCAGCGCACCGGGCTGGGGAGGGGGGCACCCAGCGGGGGCTGCCCCAAAACGGAGGGGACAGAACCGGGGCGAGGGGGGGGAGCTGGGTGGGAGCGAGTCGGGAGCCCCCCCTCCGAGCACCGGTGCGATGAGCGTGCGGGTGCTCAACACCCGGGGGCTCCTTGGGGTGACGGGGACAGAAGCGGGGTGGCCTCAGCGATTGGGGGGGCTCCGCACCGGGTGCTCGCTGCGGTGCTGAGCCCGGGAACCGAAGGCGAGCAGCCCCGAGGGGCCTCCCGGAGGAATGTCAGCACTTGGCACTGAGAGAGGCCTGCAGCCAGCGAGGGGCTGGGGGCTGGGGAAACCCCATCCCGGGGGATCGGGGGTCCCGGGAGCGGGGCTGGGAGCGGGGCTGACCCTACACCCACAGCTCAGTCGGGGCACCCCAAAACCACCGCGTCCCCCGGGGCTCGGGGATGGGGAAGAGCCGCGGGAGGCTCGGGGCACCCCGGGGACCCATGGCCCCGCTGGCCCCGCAGGAGGTTTCCAGGCAGGCGCTGCTATTTTGGGAGGGTGAAGCAAGAGGGTGAAGGATGCAGCCGAAAGTTCAGCGCGCCGCTGGCGGGTCCTCCCCCCAGACAAAAACAATCCCAGGGAGGCAGAGCCGGGGCTGGCAGCACCGCGGCACGAGGGGTGGCACCGTGGGGACGGGGCAGGACACTGGGGACGGGTGCTGCACCCACAGCCACCATCCCTCCTGCCCTATTTAGCCCTAAAAAGCTCGCTCTTGGCACCAGCACCACACCGGGGCAGCCTCCTCCCTGCCTGTGGGGGGCACGCACCCCCCCTGTGCGCCCCCATGCATGGAGCAGGGCTGCGGGGTGGCACAATGGGGCCCCGCCACCTTCCCACCTCCCCCGGTGGCCTCTCCGTGCCTCGGTTTCCCCGGGGATTTGGGGTCAGGCTTGAATCGGGCTGGGAACGGGGGCCGGCTTCCCCCGGCGCCCCCGCTGCCCCCGACCCGTGCTGCAGAGGCCAGGCTGCACGCGGCTTCCTGCCGCGCTTCCTTCCGCTCACGGCGCGCTCCCTGCGGTGCCTGGCCCGAGCCCCCCCCGCTGCCCCCCCAGCGGGGGCTCCCTCCTTGTGGGGCCACCGGCTGGCATCCATCCTGCTGAGGCCGCCCCGTGGTGCCCGGTGCCTGCCCACGTGTGCCCACCACGTCGGGTTGTCACCCCCCCATTTCCCCTTCCCATTGTCCCCCAAGCTTTCCAGCCCCGGTTTCTCAGGAGGGGTTTTTGTAGGTCCTACAGGAACACCCCTCTGGGGAGGCGGCCGGGGGGGGGGGTAAATTGGGTGCGAGGCTGCCGTGTGCTGGTGGCATCATGGGGCCGGTGCCGTGGCTGCGTGCCGGGGCATTGGGCACCCAGTTCAGCCCAGTCCCGGTGCCGTGACCATGCTGGGGACGGGTGCCCCGGTGGCAGAGCTGGCAGAGCCGGACCCCGGTGGCACAGCAGCCGCGGCGAGGGGCTGGGGGGGCAGCTCGGCACAGCCTGGGAGCCCCGCCAGGCTCCAGCACGGGGCGAGCTTCCGAAAACACCGCATTTTTTCCAGCCTTACCTCTCCTCCAGAGCCACGGGGCCAGGCGGCGGCACCAGGCCGGGCTCCGCGGCGGCACTCGCTCGGCCTCACCTTGGCGAAGGTGAGGGCCCTACCTGGGGAGGGGGGGGGTCACCATGTGCTCGCCCCCCCCCTCTTTTCCAGGCTGTTTATTCCAGGGCTGGGGAGCTGTTTTCCATCCGAGCCGGTTCTGCCCAGCGGCGAGCCCCCTCTCCAAGGCGGACGCGGTGAGCGCGGTTCCACCTCCCTCTCCAAGTAAATAAGCGCTGCTGGGGGGGGGGCTGGCAGCCTCCCTGCGCTCCCTCCGCACGCACAAACTGGAGCTGGGGCCCCAACGCTGCCCTTCCTGGGCAATTCCCCCCCCCCCCTTGCCCCGTGCCCCCCCCCCCAGGAGCCCCCCGAGCGGGCTGCGGGGTGGGAAATCCTGCGGGAGGGTGGGTGGGTGGGAGGCGCTGGGTGCTGGAGTTAATGGCTAATCCGGTCCCGAAATGCCAGAATTAATGGGGCGAGCACCTCCCGCCCCACTGAGGTTGGGGTTTAACCCCATCAGCAGCACCGGGGGGGCTGTAATGGGGTCGGTCTGCCCGTGGGGGCTCAGGCTGGGGGGTGTTGGGGGCTGATCCTGCCCCAGGGCGCACGGTGGTGCCCGTGTGGGTCAGCCCCACATTATGGGATCATTTTATGAGCAGTGAGGGCAAAGGTGAGCAGGGACCCCGCTGCCCCCCCATCCCACCCCACTCCCAGGCTCAGCCAGGTGGGCACGGGGCAGCCCAAATCCCCCCGGGGGTTGGCTGAGCCCCCCCCCCCCCGCCACCGGGACAGCCCCACGGGGGCCGGTTTATGGGGAATTACAGCAGGCAAGGCCAGGATTTTTGGGGGATTAGGCTAAGGACCTTATGGGGGAATTAGGGAGGAATGTGGGGCCGTGCTGGGTGCTGGGTGCCGGGTGCTGGGTGCCAGCCCCACGGGGGGGTCCTTCCCCTGCCCTCTGGTGGCCCCATGGGGCCAGGCACGGTCACAGCGGGAGGGTGGCACCTCGTGGGGGTGCCCCAGGTGGGTTTTGGGGGGATTAAAGGTGGGGGGGACCCAGCCCCACGCGCAGGGGGTGCTGCGCCCCCGTCCCAAGCACGGAGCCAGACCCAGGCAGGTTTTGGTGTGAAAACGGGCGTTTATGGGGGCAGGAGCAGCCCCATTACGCCTCGGAGGGGCTGCAGAGCCCCCCAGCACCCAGCCCCCCAGCCATGGCTCCTGGGGGCTTCGATGGAGTCACAGCGTGGGGGCAGCCCCCAGCCCCCCCCCAACCCCACCAGCACCCCGGGGTGGGCGCAGCCGGGCTGTGTCCCCCAGGGAGGGTCTCACAGGGTGCCGGGGGGGGCGATGCCAGCTCCCGACCCCCCCCCCCCCGGTGCTGGGCTCAGCCCCCTGGCTCTGGTGGGGGCACAGTGGGGGGGTTATAAATATCGCAGCACGGGGGGGGATTTGCCGAGCTGATTAATCTCTGCCTTGTCAGCCCCGGTGAGGCAAACGCTTTGTGGGGAGGGGGCTCCCAGCCTGGTGCCGACCCCCGGGTGGGGGGCAGCGTGGGGGGAGCTCGGGACCCCCCCCTCACCTCAGCTCCCCAAAAAGGGCTGGGATGGGAGCTGGGGGGGGCTGGGAGCAGGGGGCAGAGGTTGAGAGCTGCGGGTGCTCAGCGCCCTTTGGGGGGGAGGCAGGATGGGTGCTGCGCCCCCCCCAGTCCTCCCCAGTCTCCCCCAGCCCCCCCCAGCCCCCCCCCCCCAGTTTTTTTTTTAATGAAATCAAGATGTTCTTGGCTGGGGGGTTGGGGTTAGGGCTGGTGGCCACGGCACGGGGCCAGTGGTGCGGAGGTGGTGGGGACTGGTGGGGACTGGGGGGCACTGGGAGGCACTGGGGGGCTCTGGGGGGGGTCCGGTTGTGCCCCGCGCCCCGGCCCATTCACAAATCCCTGCGCCACGCCCTGCGCTCCTATTGGCTGGGAGGGGGCGGGCTGCAGCCAATCAGAGAGGCGTCCTCCAAGTGTGTGTGTATGGGGGGGGGGCAAACCCGAACTCTGCGTTCTGATTGGTCAGAACCCGCCCCTAAATTCACATCCCGCGGGGGTGAGCTGCGGGGGGGGATCCCAATCCCAATCCCAATCCCAATCCCAATCCCAATCCCAATCCCAATCCCAATCCCAATCCCAATCCCATCCCATCCCTGCCCTGCCCCTGTCCCACCACCCCCTACCAGGGATTTTGGGGGGGGGTCCCAGCCCCGCTGCCCCCTGTCAGGGATTTTGGGGGGGGTCCCAGCCCCAGCGCTCCCCAGGCCCAGCGGAGCATCGTGTGTCCCTCCCTGCGAGCCGGGGGGCTTTGTCCCCATATCCCAGGGGATGGAAGCACCGACCCATGCAGCCCCCACCCCACCCCCCCACCCCCCCAGCTGGCGGCGTGGGAGAGATGTCAATTAGCTGCCAATTAAATCTGGGTAATCAGCAGCCCCGGGTGCTTCGTGGCATTGATCGTGGCAGCTGCGGCACGACCGCGTTAACCCTTCCCCAACCCTGACCCCATTTGTTCTCTGTGTGCGTGGGGGGGTCCCTGTCCCCACCAGCCCCCACATCTTCCCTCCCCACCTCCTCCGGGCAGGGCCAGATGGGGCCCCCCCGCCCTCACCCAGCATCTGGAGCCCCCGGCTAAGCCCCTGCTCCTGGCTCATCCCCTTGGACGCTCGGCACATCCAGGCGGTGCCGGGGGCTGGAGCTCCTCACCCCCACGTCCCCGTCCTCCTCCAGACTCTCCGGATCCGGCCCCTGTCCTCAAATCCCCTCCTGGCACGGGAACACCCCCAACCACGACGGCACCGTGCCAGGACCCGGCAGCCTGACGCAGAGGGGCAGATGGGCCGAGCCCCCCTGCTTGGATAGAGCCCCCCTTCCCCTCCCCAGCCATCCTGCCCCATACACGGCCCCCCCTGCACCCCCTGTCCCTCCGACAGCATCCCTCCTGCTGCCGGGTGTCACCACCAGCGCTGGCACCAGCGTGAGCGTCGTGGCCACCTCGTGGGGTTTGCGCCTCGCTCAGTTTGGCACCAGAGCTGCAGCAACGCGGGTGCCGGCGCTGATCCCAGCAGTTTAGGATTAGCTGTGCCCATGTCTGTGGGGTCTGTCCCCTGCTGTGTCCCATGTGGGGGCTCCAAGCCCTGCTCCCCTACCCCGGGGGGGATCATTGGGGCCAGCAAACAAAAGTGGGGTTTGCTCAGGCTGCCCCAGCAGATGTTCCCACACAGAGGGGTGCCCACCTCCCGCGCTGCCCATCTGCTTCAGGGATTAGGGCGACGACCCCATCCCATCCCCATATCCTCATCTCCCCGCCCCGCATCCCGCACAAGGGCTGCGGGGCCAAACTCCCCCCCACCCAAAAAACCCCACAAGAGCCCCCCGAGAGGTGGGCAAGGGGCCAGCGGAGGCCGTCCCCGGGCAGCCGCGCAGCACACGCAGCGCCTTGGCTGCAAAGGCTGGGAAAAGGGCAGGCAGTTCCTGCCGGATGCCATGGTGATGGGAGGGCGAGGGCCGCATGAATGAAAACCCAAGAGCAGGGGGGAGCGGGGGGGGCCGCTCTGCGCTGTGCCCTGAATGCAAAGACCCCACACAAAAGCGCCGTGGCCGTGCGCACCGTGGCGCACCGGTGCCGTGGGCGAGCGGTGCCGACCCCGCACCGTGCCCGGGGCTCACCGTGGGTACCCCCGGCACGACACCCCTGGGGGATGTAGGACCAAAAGAGGGGGGTCAGGGTGGGATGGATTGGGGCTGGGAGCCGTTCCCCTGGTAACGGCGGGTCCCAGTTTCCACCAATCGATGTGGCGGCGCGGGCTGGGAGGGCTGGGAGGGCTCGTGGCCTACATAAGCCCCGGCGGGCACCGCGCGCCCGCGCCGCCGGCAGATGCTCTTGCGAAGCCATGGGGAGGCTGACGGGCGCACGGCCCGCTGCCACCCACCGCTGGGGCTCCACGGCCACTGCCTTCCTCCTCCTCCTCCTCACCGTGCAGGCTGGTAAGGGTGGTCGCAGCCGGGGGAGGCGTGGAGGGGTCCCCGGGTCGCAGCCCCGCTGCCCTCGCCGTGTGCTGGGGTGGGGTTGGGCATGGGGTGGGGGGCTGGTGGTGGTCACGGAGGGGTGGGCACAGCTCTCCGGCAGCCGTGGTGGCACGGGGAGGGCTGGATGTGGCTCCTCGATGTGCCCGTGGTGGCCGGGAGGTGCCTGGGGGCGAGGGCTGGGCTCCCCGCTGCCCGGTGGTCAGGCGCCACGGGGCAAGGGGCTGCGATCGCCTCCCTGATCCCCGCTCAGCTGGGATTAAGCTGGTGCTGGGATGGGTAATCTGGGTAAACTGGGATGGGTAATCTGGGTATACTGGGATGGGTAATCTGCAGGATCGCCGGCCGGCAAGCAGCAGATTTGAGAGACGGAGCCAAATTCCCCAGGGGAAAGATGCTCCAGGGGGGAAGGTGGGAGATGTGCCAAGCGTGCGGGAGGGAGAGGAGTGGGAGGAAGGCTCCCCGTGCCCACAGGAGCTCCGAGCCCACCGCTGCGCATTCCCAGCCCCTCTCCCTGCTGGGGGGGGCTCGCAGCACCAGTGGGAGGCAGTGCCTGTGCCAGGAGCGGGCACAGCACCGTGCCTGCCTGCCCAGCAGCACCCACCCATGGCAATGCCGGGGCTGTCGGCACCCCCAGCCCCTTCCTGGAGCTCAGGGAGCCCCCCCAAAGCCACCAGCCCTCGTGTGCCCCCCTGTGCCAGCCCGCCCAGGATGCTGGGGGTCTGGGGCAGTGCCCAGGGCAGGCTCTGCTCACGCTGGGGACAGGACGGGGGCTGGCAGCCCTGGGCTGGGAGCCAGCCCTGCCCGGCACGGGGCCATTTCCCAGCACGGCCCAGCCTGGGACACGGTGGTCCCAACCCCACTGCTTGTTGGCTCCCAGGGACACCCCTGTCCCCACGTCCCCTCGCCCTCCCCACGCCCCCTTGGCACCGGCCGGCCTTTTGGCACGGGGAGGAGCGCAGGGAGGACGTGCACAACGCCAGGCACCCCCAGCCCCCCCACTGTGCCCCAGGGCTGTGACTCTCCCACCTCCCCGCAGCCCAGAGAGCCGAGCTCGGCGGCGATGCCACGGCTGCCACCATCAACCACTCGCTGACGCTGCTGCAGCGGCTGCAGGAGCTGCTGCAGAACGGCAACAGCAGCGACTCGGTGCTGCGGGTGCGCACGGCTGCCTCCGACGAGGCCAAGGTCTTCCACACCCACCAGCTGCTGCTCAGCCTCCAGAGCGAGGTTTTTGAGGGTCTCCTGCGCAACCAGAGCGTCCTCACCCTGCACGAGCCCCCCGAGACCGCCTGCGCTCTTCGAGAAGTTCATCAGGTGTGCGCCAGGGGGGACCCCCGCGGGATGGGGAGGTCCAGGGGGATGCCAAGGAGGGAGGTGTTCCCCTAGGGAAAGTGGGGAGTTTTTTGGGATGGGGATGCCCAAAGGGATGAGCTGAGGAGGGAGATGTTCCCCCGGGGATATCAGGGGCTTTGTGGGATGGGGATGGCCTCGGGGATGCAGCCAAGGAGGGAGAGGTTCCCCTGGGGACAATGGGGAGTTTTTGGGATGGGGATGCCCAAAGGGATGAGCTGAGGAGGAGGAGATGCTCCTTTGGGTACCACAAAGACCTCACAGGATGGGGACAGCAGGAGGGGTGCAGCCAAGTGGGGACGATGCCACTGGGGACTGTGGGGACCCTGCAGGGTGGGGGTGCTGCAGGGTGCAGCCGAGGAGGGAGGGTGCTCCCCTGGAGACCTGCTGGAGCCTGGGGCCACGCAGAAGGATGGGAAAAGGACCAGGGGACAGCAATGTCACCGCGCCACGCTCCGCCCCAGGTACCTGTACTGCGGGGGGGTCTCCATCCTGCTGCACCAGGCCATCCCCATGCACCAGCTGGCCAGCAAATACCGGGTGTGGGGGCTGCAGCGCGGCGTGGCCGACTACATGAGGAGCCACCTGGCCAGCGAGTCGAGCCAGGGCCACGTGGTGGGCTGGTACCACTACGCCGTGCGCGTCGGGGACGCGGCGCTGCAGGAGAGCTGCCTCCAGTTCCTGGCTTGGAACCTTTCGGCCGTGCTGAGCAGCGCCGAGTGGGCTTCGGTCAGCGTGGAGCTGCTGCTGCTGCTGCTGGAGCGCTCCGACCTGGTGCTGCACAGCGAGCTGGAGCTCTACACCGCCGTGGAGAGCTGGCTGAGCCGGCGGCAGCCCGAGGAGGCGGTGGCCGAGCGGGTGCTGCGCGCCATCCGCTACCCCATGATCGCCCCCAGCCAGCTGTTCCGGCTGCAGGCGCAGTCGGCGGTGCTGGCGCGGCACCACGGCGCCGTGCGGGACCTCCTGTTCCAAGCCTTCCAGTTCCACGCCGCCTCCCCCCTGCACTTCGCCAAGTATTTCGACGTCAACTGCAGCATGTTCCTGCCCCGCAACTACCTCGCGCCCAGCTGGGGCTCCCAGTGGGTCATCAACAACCCGGCGCGGGACGACCGCAGCACCAGTTTCCAGACCCAACTGGGGCCCAGCAGCCACGACGCCGGCAAGAGGCTGACCTGGAACGCGCTCTTCTCGCCGCGCTGGCTGCCCGTCAGCCTGCGCCCCGTCTACTCGGACTCGGTGTCGGGCGCCGTCCAAGCGGCGCGCATCGAGGACGGCCGCCCGCGCCTCGTCGTCACCCCGGCCATGAGCAGCCCCGATTTTGCCGGCGTCAGCTTCCAAAAAACGGTGCTGGTGGGCGTGCGGCAGCAGGGCCGCGTGCTGGTCAAGCACGCCTACAGCTTCCACCAGAGCTCGGACGAGGCGGCCGATTTCCTCGCCCACGCCGACCTGCAGAAGCGCACCTCCGAGTACCTCATCGACAACTCCCTGCACCTGCACATCATCGTCAAGCCCGTCTACCACTCCCTCATCAAGGCCAAGAAGTAGCGGGCACCAGCCCTGCCCCGCTGCCGCCGGACTGGGTGCGCGGGGCTCTGCCTCTCCACCCCCCCGACCCCCTCCCCGTTTTGTAGGTAGACAGAGGTCCCCGTGCCGGGGGTGCCCACCCCTGCCCGGCCGTCCCAGTGCCACCCCGATGTCTCCGTTGCCATCCCTGGGTGCCTGCAGGGAGCTCTGGAAATGCACAGCCGGGGGCTCAGCCTGTGCTGTGCCAAGGAGCACTGGGGGGGGACAGGGACAGCCCCCGTAGTGCCACCCCGCAGCCCTCACGGTCACAGCTCGGAGCGTGGCAGGGCAGGGGGGTCCCCGCTGCCTCCCCCGGCAGAGGACACTTGTGGGGTGCTGCCCCCACTCGCAGCCTGCAGCCACCTCACCCCTGCCTGGGCACCCCTTACCCCTTCCTAATAAAAGCAGAAAACAAGCACGGGGATTGCGGGGGCGTCTTTGGGGCCTCCTCCAGCCCCTGGGGACCGGGATGGGATCGCTGCGTGCCCCCGGGGGGCTCAGGTCCCTGCTTCAGCAGAGGTTTGGCACGGGGAGAGCAGTGTGGCTGGCCCAGCAGGAGCTGTGCCAGGGGGCACCCTGGGGACCTCTGCGCTCCCCAAGGGGTCTGAGCCCTCCTAGACTCGGTGCCACCCCCCCTGCTTTGCTGCTGCCAGCTCCGTGCCGGGGAGCAGAAGGTGCAGGGCTGGTCCCGGTGCTGGCGGCGCGGGGCCCTTTGTGCTCCTCAGTGTCCCTTTGTCCCCGGGCCGGGGCTCAGAGCCAGCTTTGTGCGCGGTGCCGAGGGGCACAAAGGCACCTCTGTGAGCGCAGCACCCAAGGTGCCCGCTGCCCGTGCACCCTGAGCCCGGTTCGTGGTGCTGGCACACCACAGGGACCCTTTTTTGTCCCTTTTTGGGGCCCCACCCGCACTGTCCCCAGCCCCCCCAGCTTGTGGGTGATGCCAGGGCAGGGGGACCCCAACGCTGACCCCATCACAGCTGCCAGCATCCCCTACTGCCTCCTGTTGCCATGCAGATTTTGGCCTTTCTGGTAAGGCAAACCTAAAAAAAAAGCTGCCCTGCTTCCACCGAGCCCCCCCCCAGCACAATGGGGCAGCAGCGGTGCTCAGCTGGGGTCTGGGGGCCACAAACCCTGTCCCCACACATCCCTTTGCCCGGAGCATGTGTTTGGGAAGGATCCAGCCCCATAGCACGGACGCTGCCCCCCCCGGCAGCCCCATCCCGTGCCACCAGCCGTGTTGTGGGGTGAGCGCAGCGGGCAGCTCGTTAATAATTGACCGGGGGAAAAGCCTCCAGCTCGGTGGCTCCGTGATAACAGCCGGGCTGTGTTTACCCAGCGCTGATAACCCCGGCCCCCAGCACCGCAGGCGGCTCTCGTGAGGAGGGGGTGAAGCAGCTGGCGGGGCTCGGGGGGCTTCGTCTGCCCCAGGACCCCGCTGCCGCTGCGGGGGGCTCTGCTCCTGGGGCTGGGGATGCCCCACGGGGCACCCCGCTGCTGCTCCATCCTGGGGGGGCTCTGCTCTGCAAGAGGGGAGGTGGAAGGGAGAAAGGACTCTGCCTTCCCACCCCCTGCTCGGCCCTGCCGGGACAAAACAGGAAGCGTGACGCGGGGAGCTGCTGTTTATTCACGCTAGAGGAAAAATAAAATCGGGAGGGCAAAGGGCCAAGGAGCATCTGTGCGCAGCTCCACGCTTTCTGTGCGATCCACCGGGCCTGGCTCCGCTGCTACTCCTGTGGGGAGAGCGGGCGGGGGTGTCCGGGGGCTGCCCCACGGAGGCAGAGACCTCCAGGAGGGGGGCTGTGAGGCTGCAGGGAGCTCACCTTGGCGGCATCCTTTTCCTCGCTCTCTTCCTCATACTTGGGCAGCTCGCTCTCCTCGCCCTGCACCACCGCCTCCTCTCCTGCCCGCTTTTTAACCTGAAAGGCAGAGGCTCCCCCACTCCCCGTCCCGTGGCACCTGGGCAGCCGGGGGGGCTCCCCTGGGGATTTCGGAGCCCCCCTGCAGCTGTGGGTCCGTGCTCCTGCCGGTACCTTGCCATCTAGGTGCCGTGCCTCTGCCCTTGCCCTCCTCTGCAGCTCCGCTTCAATAACCTCAAAGAATTCCTTCTGGGCTCTGTCCAGTGCCTCCTGGGGGCTCTCCTCCGGAATCTCCTCCGCTTCTGCGTCCTGACCCTCCGACCTGGCGCGCTCCTTCAGCCGCATCTCCCGGTGCCGCGCCTCCAGGATTTTCTCCCTTTTCGTCTCCCGTTCGAACATCTGGGGCAGAGAAAGGGGCTGAGGGGCGCAGGGGACCCCATGGGGACACGGCTGTGCCCGGTGCTGGGCTCGAGGGCAGCAGCGGCCGAGCAGGCAGCCACACGCTGGCAGCACTGAGAGCGCTGCTGTGTGCGCATCCAGCCGCTCCGGCTCCTACGTACGGCGTTGGCCAGGTTCTTCTCATTCCTCTGTAGGGTGCAGAGCCCGGAGGAGATCTCCAGCAGGGTGACGGTGCCCAGTTTCGAGCCGCAGCCCACGATGCACCCGTTGTCCTGCAGGCGCAGGCTGGAGAGGGGCTCGTCGCAGATCTGGGGAGGGGAGGACGGGCGGGTGGCAGCGCTCAGCCCTTACCTGCTGCCTCGGGGCAGGCAGACCTGGCCAAGCAAACCCACGTGCTGCCCTGTATCAGGAGCCTGCGTGCAAAATTTTGGGCTCCAAGGGTTGTGGGGACAGCTGCTGCTTGATGGAGCACACCCAGAGCCCTGCACGCCCCCCATCTCCTCACTCCATCCCTGGGCGATGCCCACTCCGTGCCCCATGGCAGTGCCCGTGCTCCCCCCCAGGGATGGAAGAGGATCCGTGGGACCGACCTTCAGGCTGAGGGAGGGGTCGTTCTGCTTGAAGAGGAAATCCCAGACGTCCAGGGTCCCGTCCATCTTGGTCGTGAAGAACACAGCCGGCCTCACTGTGCTCCAGCAGCCGGCCGTCAGGTAGGAGAGGTGGTACCTGATGGGGACCCCGTGCTGCTGGGTGCCACGGGACGGGCTCCCGGCCCCAAATCCCCTCGTTCCAGCACTGCTGCTGTGCACAGAGCCTCCAGCACATGATTTTAGCCCGCGCTGTCTCTGCTCCAGCACCTCTGGCTCAGTCCCACCACCTCCACCTGGGCACAGACCCTGCCCCAGCCGTGCTCTTCCACAGAGCAGGAGGATTTTTTACGGGGCACACGCTGCCACCTACTTGGTCCACATAATCGATGACTCCTTGGCTTCCTCTGACCAGATCCGAGCAGTCCAGTCGCCAACCGTCAGGAAGATTTTGGGGTACAAAGGGTTCCTGGTCAGGGCGTAGACGGGCCCGTGGTGGCCGCTGTAGGTGCCGGCGATTTTTTCGGGGGGCGTCTTGGCCTTGCGGTTGCAGGTGATGACGATGCCCTGCTCCGTGCCCACCATGAACTTGGTGGGCTGAGGGTGGGAGGAGGAGAGAGCAGCCGTCAGCAGGCTGGGGACCTGGGGACCCCACTCTTCGGGGGGTTCTTCAGGGCTCTGCTGCCCAAGCAGACAGCGACAGAGCCCTGGGGCACGTTGTGATCGGGGGGCTTCAGAGACCAGCTGCCCCCAAATTTGGGTGAGAACCTGCTGCCAGCTGCAGCACCGTGCTCCAGGGCTCCCTCTGCGCATCCCTCGTGTGCTGCTCCCCTGCAGCCCTGCCCCTGGGGGTGACCTGGCACTGCCCACCCTGCTCGGGTCGGGTTTGGTCCCACTCCTGCCACGTTGGGATTATTTGTGTGCAGGGAGAAGCAGTGGCAGGTCAGGGATCTCACCATGGTGGGCTCGAACTCCAGCGTGATGGCACCCAGAGCGTTCTCCAGCAGCCCCTGGCGCGTGATGTCCAAGACCAGCGTCTCGGTGGGCTCGGAGAGCTTGCGGATGTCCCACCACAGCACCTGCAGGAGAGATGCTGCGGGGCAGGGGCTGATCCTGCTCAAATGTGGAGCCGGGCAGCTGCTGTGTGTGTGTGTGCCCGGCCCTTTCCCTGCCCCCTGCCCTCTACCTGCCCGTCGGTGGATGCCGAGAAGCACTCGGTGCCCGTTTTGGACTGCAACCAGATCGCGCCGTACACGGGGTCCCTGTGGCTGGCCTCCACGGTGGACACCTCCACGGGCAGCCCCCCTTTCCTGGTGTCCCAGTAAGCTGCGAAAGAAAAGGAGCCAGTCAAAATCTGCACCAGCTGCCTTGCCTGGCTCCCCAAAACCATACGAGTGCCCCCCCCCCAGGCTGGGACCCTGCTGCTGCGATCACTCACAGGGGGGGCCCGCTCCGAAGGGAGGCACGATTTGCACTTTCTGCAAATGCCACGCTGGGCAGCAGCAACCTATTAACAGCCGCAGCATTTCTCCTCTGATCATCTCTGCAGCAGATGCACTACGACCCCACAGGCAATTAATCCTCCCAGCTCCCCCCCAGCCCCCCGGCTCTGCACAAGGGGTTGCAGCAGGAGCAGACGTGGTGGAAGCAGCACCCCAACGAGCAGATTTTACGCTCAGCGCTGCTCAGAACCATCCTGTGTGACCTGACCCTGGCTGAGCTCCCCCTCCTGCGTGCCCTAGGGGCAGTGCCTGATGAAGGCAGGTCCCCGGGGGGGCCGCAGCAGACATCCACCCACCCATCCCTCTCCCTGCCTCTGACAGCAGAGGACAGGTCAGGGCGCAAGGACTGTCCTCGGTTGGGTGGCTGGGCCGTGGTGGCAGCGAGCCGTGCGTGCTCCCCCTGGCTCATTTTTAATTAGGCGATGGGATGTGACAGTGGGAGCTCTGCTGGGCCAGCTCCGCACGCCTGGGGAGGCCGGGGTGAAATCCCCTCCCCTCCATCACCTGCGGAGCGAGCGGTAACAGCCCCGTGATGCATGCCCTGTCAGATCCGATCGCTGCTGCAAATGGCAAGGAAAACATCGAAATGAGAGCAATTAAATCAAAGGGCTCGCGTGGCCAAGTAAATAACAGAGCCATAAAATGAAGCTGGCAAACGAGGGGCTCTCTTCCAGGCACATGAAGCAGCAGCACGGGAGCAATTCAGTGAACGAAGCAGCTCTTCTGGGCTTTTGGCACACAAAGATTGGGGGCAGCGGGTGATGCAGGAGCACGGCGCCGGTGCTTTTTGGTGGCCTGATCCTGCCTCTGAATTTAATTCAGGCTCCTGCTGAATTCAAACGAAGCTGAAACCTCGTTAGCACGGCCTCGCACACAACCCTGCTTCCTCACCCAGCTGCCCGTTGTAGCAGCCTCCCACCAGGATGTGCGCGTCCTTGGGGTTGTATTCCAGGCTCACCAGAGGGGACGATGGCTTGAGGACCAGCTGCGGCTTGTTGGGGTTCTCTGCCGAGAGGGAAAAAGTAAAAAAAAAAAACTCTGAGCACACGGACAGCCCGGAGTGCAGCACCCACCTCCAAATCAGCCTCTTGGCACCACACACCAGGGATGAGAAGTGACCTGTCCTCGCCTCAGGACAGACCCCTGGTACTCTGACCCCCTTTCTTTGCATTTTTCACTCCAAAATACAACAAGTTTGAGAGATTCTTTGACAGAACGGGACAATTCTCAGCCTGGTCTTGTGCTGCCTCTTCCTTTCTTAATCAAGCGCAAGCAAGCCACAGAAACACAAGAACCACATAAGAGACGTGTGGCTCAGCTGCCTGTTGTGGTGGCGGGCGCTCGAGCTCATGAAGTCATGTAGCGGGATTTTAGTGGTTGTTTTCCACCTGTTGGCCAGCTTTCAGGTCCCATTTCTGCCCTTCTTGACATTGATCTGTGGGCAAAGCAGAAACCGAACCCCTGTTCCTCCCCCCCTGGAATATCGTGAGGCTTCGTTACATCCGTGAGATGCTTTGAAGGCTCAAAGTGCTTCCGCAGCAGCACCATTACGGACTGGTGAGTTCTCTCATTCCCTTACCGAGGTCCCAGATGTACGAGTCCAGGCTCATGTCTTCCGTGCTTTGCTGGAACTCCAGGCAGGAATAAGCCACGGCCAGCTTCTTGCATCTGTCAGGGTGCCAGGAGAGATGTGCGGCTGTCCTCTTCGTGATGTTTGGATCCCTTTTTGGTAACAGGACATCAAAAAAAGATGTTAGTTTGTTAACAGTTTCAACGTGCCCTGGGGATGCTGTCTCCCAAAGGAAGCTGTGGGAATCACAATTAAAACAAGCTGCAGCTCTCCAGCATCGAGTGCAGGAAATGATTCTCCTGGGGGCTGGGTGGGGGAAGAAGAGTTGATGATTTAATAAAGTCTTTCCAGTTACACATTTCTAAGAATCCAATTACGTTACTGGAGCTGACTTCTTGAAATGGCCTAGCAGCCCCTGACATTTAGAAACGATCTTTGAGGCACTAAAAAAAAAAAAGGTTCCTGTCTAAAGCGCTGTTAGAGGATGCTCAGAGCTGCAGCCATCCCTGGACCGTGGCATCTGTCTCCAAAATGCCTGGGCAGGGCAGAGAGGGGAGGAACAGATGGAGTGTGTGAAGGTACTGAAAGAGCAGTCAGGGGTTGGGGTGGGTTTCTTGGGGAGGTGATGGAGTTCCTGTCCCTGGGGGTGTTCAAGGAAAGGTTGGACGTGGTGCTTGGGGACATGGGTTAGTGGGTGCTGGTGGTAGGGGGACAGTTGGACCAGATGACCTTGGTTGGCTTTTCCAACCCTAATGATTCTATGCGGGGTTGTAGCAGGTCTGCCCATCCATAAACCGATCCTAATACTGCTGGATTTCCCCTGCCTTCCCTCCGGGGCAGTTGAAAAGAGGGCTCAGCTCACGCAGCCGCCCGCTGTGGCATTACAGAGCCCGGCAAACACCTTGGTCCAGCACAGCCAGCGGCACTACCTGATGACATTGATGGTTTTGGCAGAGGGGGCCTCATCCTCCATCTCTGCCTCCTCCTCCTCGCCGAAGTACTCCTCGTAGATGTCGATGGCGTTGTTCTGCCTGACGCAGTGCTCCATCAGCTGCGGGCACAGAGCTGCTGAGGCCGTGCCGCCGCGCGGGGGGCAGCCACGGAGGGGCTGGGGGGCAGTCAGGGCCTCACGGTGCCGAGGTGCACGATGGTGTTGACGTAGTTCTCCTCCTTCTCCACCTTCTTCCGAAAGCGGGCCGTCTGCTCCATCTCCTGGGGGTTGATGTCCTTGGGCCAGCCGCCCTCCACGTGGTTCACGCCGCGGGTTTCCACCTCCACCCGCTCTGTGTTGACCTGCGGGGAGAGGAAGAGTGTGGGGCTGGGATGATGGAGGTAGAAAGTGCTGGAGGAACGAGGTGATGGAGGAATGAGGGGATGGAGAAACAAGGTGGTGGAGGAACGAGGCGATGGAAGTACAAAGCAATGGAGGAAAGAGGTGATGGAGGAACGAGGGGATGGAGGAACGAGGGGATGGAGCCACAAAGCAATGGAGGAACGAGGCGATGGAGGAACAAGGTGGTAGAGGTATGAAGTGATGGAGGCACAAATAAATGGAGGAAGGAGGCGATGAATGAATGAGGTGATAAAGAAACGAGGGGATGGAGGAACAAGGTGATGGAGGAAGGAGGTGAAGCACCCCATCCCCCTCCCAGCCACACACCTCGTGCTCCGACATCTCGCTGCCATGCTGCACGGGGGTGTCCACGGGGCAGCGCAGCACGAAGGCCTCGGCCAGGCTGGGGTCGGGCTGGATGTCCACGCACACCTCGGCCGGCCGGTCCGAGAAGTAGCAGGGCCGCCCGAAATCGCTGCGCCGCCTGGTGTAGATGTGGACGATTTCCATGGCCAGGCCCGGCCCGGTACAGCCCGGTACAGCCCAGTACAGCCCAGTACAGCCCAGTACGGCCCAATACGGCCCAGTACAGCCCGACCCGGCTCGGCCCAGCCCAGTATGGCCCAGTACAGCCCGGCCCGGCCCGGTACGGCCCAGTAGAGCCCAGTCCGGCCCGGTACAGCCCGGTCCGGCCCAGTACAGCCCAGTACGGCCCAGTACGGCTCAGCCCGGCCCGATCCGCGTCCTCCGTTGCCTGGCAACGGGAGCCCGAGGTCACGTGCCGCCGCCGCCGCCATCTTGGGAAGGTCAAGGCAGGGGAGGTGTCCTCTGCCCGCCGCCATCTTGGGAGGGCAGAGCGTGGTTAATGAGGCTTGGTGATTAGCACTCAGCTGCAGCTCCCCAAGGGAACGCAGCTTACTAATCTGTGCCAGGGTGGAACCAACTGGGCCAGGACGCGGCGCCTGCAGCCCTGCGGGGCTCTACGTGGAGCAGGGGGGACGCTGGCAACGTCCCCTTGGTGGGGCGGCAGCCATGGCCTCGTCCCCTCTGGCGCCCAGCCCCGGCCTTCTCCTGGTCCCTGAGGTGCCAAAGGTGCCAGGGGCGGCTGCAGCTCACGGGCAGATGTGGCAGAACCGTGCCCGATGGCCTCAGCACCCAACCACAGGGCCCTGTGCAATATTTGGGGTCGTGGAGGTGGTGGCAGGGGGACCCCCGTGTCCCCAGGGCTTGCCCAGTGCTCAACGTGTCCCCAATGTGCCAAGGCCGGCTCTGAGAGGAGAGCGGCCACAGGAACAGCACGAGCTGTGACCCAACACCAGCACACTGCTCAGATTTAACATAGTTAAACGTTAAATGTCCCATCAACCACGCTGCCGGGCCCCCCAGGGCACCTCCATGCACCCCTCGCGCACCCACAGCCCGTGTCACCCCCCTGTCACTGCTGGAGGTGACACCAGTGCAAGCCCCAAGATTTAAAAAATGAGTTTAGTACAAGTGTTTATTGTCTTTTCCCCTCAAGGGCACATACAAATCAGGCAGGACTCCCACTCCTCCCAGGAGCCCTAATGAGGTTAGTTCACATGCGTCGAGGAACAGCTCTGCTACCAGTACCGTTACACCAAAACGTTAAAAGCAAAAATAAAAATAATAAAAAAAAAAAACAAAAAATGGGAAGTTCCAACAGCACGTAATGCTAGTCACATGTAAGGGGGGACGAGAGGATATGTACAAGTTATCTTTAAAAGACACAGTGAGTCACTGCCATCAAGTAATAGCCCAGCAGGGCTCTGCTGGCCCCGCGGGCAGCCCGTGCTGCTCGCTGAGCAGGGAGGGATGGACGACCAACACCAGCAACACGGGAGCCTGGAGGTTTTTGGGGCAGCCCACGCCAAAACGAACAGCCACACAGGATCTGGTTCAGCCCCTGCTGGTTCTTCCCTGGCTCCATCCCAGGAGCTGAGCCCTTGCTTAGCCCCAAGCCCTGGCAATGCCAGGCAGGACGGTGGGGATGTCCCTTCCCCTCTTGGCACAGCTGAATCCTGCTCTGGGGATGCCTGAGTAGTCCCTAAACCTCTCCAGGGGGGGGTTGTGGTTACCCCAGAGCCATCCTGCACCAAAGAGGGGAGCCTGCCCCAGGGAGCAGAGCTGCCCAAAAATGCCCACAGCCCCAGCTGAACACCTCGGCCGCTGTGTGCCACCTAAAACCCAGACACGAAGCACAGAAAAAACAGCAAGGCCAAAACCATCCCCATCCCACACCCCAAACCCAGGGCCAGGGGGCAGCAGGGGGGGACGCGGGGAAGGCGTTGGGATCACTAGTGGTCGGGTCTGCATTGCTAGCGGGGGGGAAGGAGCACGCGGGGCAGGCAGCCCACAGCCCTGATCTTCCCCCTCCAGAAAAAAAAAAAGGAAGCCAAAACGCGGCCCCCATCCGTGGCATGAAAACCCCAAAGCTGGCACGGGTGGGAAGGGGGGAGAAGGCGGTGGGCACGACCCAAACCCAGCCCCTCTGCCGGCCGGAGACCCGCTGTGAGTGCCGGGACGCGTCCCGTAAGGCAGGCAGGAAGACGTGAGAGCCAGCAGAAGCTGCCGAGGGAGGAGAGGGGGGCCTTGGGGGGCTCCATCAGCCAACGGCTCGTCCGCCTCTCCCGGGGGGGCTGCCCCGGACCCGTGGTGTGGGGAGCCGGGGGTCTTTGGTTTCCGTCACGGGAGCACTGGGGGCTTCTTCTCCTCCACAGAGTGGCTCAGGGACCAGCACTAGGCTGGGAATTCGGTGTTGAAGGGCCTGACGTGCTCATCGGTGACGGCCAGGTAGGTGGCTCGCATGCTCGGGGAGTACTGCGGGGAGAGGGCACGCAGTCAGCACAGGCCTGAGCCCCCCCCCCGAGACCCCCAACCGCATCCCACCCGGCCCTGCAGCGCTGGAGAGGGAAGGTCGCTTCCCCTTTGTATTAATTCCCATTAATTGTATTAATTATTTGCTGTGCTCATGGCTGGGGGGAGGTCTCACCAGCCTCTCCCCCAGCTGGAATTTCGGTAAGACCCCCAAAAAAAACCCCTCCAGCCCCTGCCCCGGGTGCACAATGACATCCCTCCAGCACCGGGCCACAGGGAGGGGGCGTCCCCGGGGCAGGCATTAAGGAAGATTATTTCAAGTTTGTTATTTTGGACCGCTCAAGTCCTTCCTCAGGGATCTGAATCCCGGTTAAATCAGACCATTCAGGGCAGGGAGAAGCGCTTGAATTAATCCCTGCGTCTGTCCCCCCCCCCGGGAACAGCCCTGCCAGCTGCAAGGTCTGCGCAATCGGATTAGGGCAGCGGCTCCGTGCATTCACCTGATTGCCAAAAATTGTCCCTGGCACGGGGGGGGAGCACCTCGAGCACCACCGTCTCCAGGGCTTGGGGACAAAATGCAGCCCCCAGGGGACAAAACGCAGCCCCCCCGGGGGAAGGGATGGGATCTAAGAGGGAAGCTGAGGACGGGAACCCCCCCCCAGCTGCTGCCCCCAAGGAGCAGGAGGGGGAACGAGGCGGCTGGACTTACTCTTGATGGGCAACTTAGCTCCAAAATAATTGATGCGAAACGAAAGCAAAACGAGAAACATAAATACATAAATAAATAAATAACAAACAAACAAATAAATAAATAAATAAATCAGGTGTTAATAGACAGGGGGGGTCAAATAAACGGTGGGTGGGAGAATGTAATCATGCAGAAGGCGCCCTTCAAAAGTCTGGGAATAAATTAAAAAAATGAAGCAGACAGCGAGGGGAGGGCTATTTCGGTCTCCTCCGAGCACGTGGTGGGTAACCTCCCCCCTGCAGCCCCCCCCCCCCCCCCGGGCTGGGGAGGAATTGGGTTAGCAGGGCAGGGCAGGAGGGATCCGCAGGAGGGGAGGGGGCGCAGCTCACCCGGCCCCTTCCCCAAAACGGAGCCCTGTGGGGATGCTGGACGCTTCTGGCTGCCCCCAGGCTGCCCCCCCACCCCCTCACAAAAAGGATTTGTCCTCGGCCGCCCGCCGTACCGTGGGGGGGGGAGACCCCCTGCCGATCAGGGGCACGTTCTCGTAGCGTGGGTTCCCCCCGAAGAGCACGGCTTGGTTCCTGGGGGGGTGGAAAAAAAACCTCAGAGGGGGGCACAGGGCGAACTCTGCAATCCCCAGGGACCCCTTGGGGGAAAATTTGGGTCTCACGGGGGGGGGGGGAAAATTTGGTCTCACATGTACTCGGAGACGGGGGCGTTGGAGATGGTCTGCGCGGGGGGGTGCAGGCTGCTCTGGCTGCCCAGGCTGCTGCTGTAGCTGCAGAAGCTGCGGAGCTGCCCCCGCGCCGGGTTGTGCGCGGCGATGCGGCGCGCCTGCGGGTTGAAGGGGTCCTCCTCGTCCATGTCATCGTAATCCCGATCCCTGTGAGTGTTTGAGGACACCAAAATCACCCCCAGGGTGCGTGTGGGGGGGATAATAATAAGGTGGGGGGGGCTCTCCAGGCTCACCTGCCCGCCAAGTGCTTCCAGGCGCGCGGCGTGGCGCAGATGATGGTGGAGAAGGAGGCGGCCACCAGCAGGGAGAAGAGGACGAGGTAGAGCAGCCCCTCCACCCCGTCGTAGCAGATGCCGATCAGGGCGTCCAGGTAGTCCTGAGGCAGGACACAAAAATTTGGGGGGGGGGGTTTGGGGGAGCTCTGGGAGCTCCCGCGCCCACCCCGGCCCCCCCATGCCCACCTTGTGCAGCCCCCGGCAGTCCAGCATGGCCGTGAGCTGGTGCAGGCTGGTCTCCGAGGCGTTGAGGAGCTGCTGGACCCCCAGGAGGTCTTTCTGCAGGGAATGGGGAGGGAGAGGGGGGGTGAGAAAAGCGTTGGAGCAGCAGGGAGGGGGTGACCCCCCCCCCCACACACCTCACCCCATACCTCAGCCGTGGGGAAGAGGGGCAGAGCGAACTGGATCAGCCCCTGGGTCTGGATCTGCATGGTGGTGAGCGAGTGCTGGAGGACGGTGAGAGCCTGCGGGGATGGGGGGGGGGCAGCAGGGGGGATTATTAGGGCCCACCGCCCACCCGGCCCCCACCCCGAGGGGCTCTGCGCCCCCCCATACCTGCTGGAAGGGGTTGCTGAGGCTCTGCTCGCAGTACAGGTAGTAGTGAGCCACCTCTGCGAAGCAAATGAGACAGCAAAGCAGCATGAGCCCCCCCAGGGGGTTAAAAGCAGCGTGGTGGGGGGGGGGGCTCAGCGCAAAGCACGGCCCCCTTGAGACCCCAGAGATGTTTTGGGGTGCCCCGTGGCCGGTCCTTACCCGCGCTGATCTCGCTCTCTGTCTGGTTCATGATGAACTTGTCCGGGGCCACGCAGAAATCGCTGGTGCCCTGCGGGGGGGGGACGACGAGACAGAGCACGGTGGGGGCCGGGAGGGCTCTGAGCTGCCCCCCCCCCAACCCTACAACCCCCACTCACCACCGCCGCCGCCGTGTCCAGGGCCATGGAAGCCCAGCTGAGGACGAGGGTGAGGAGCCCACAGCACAGCATCCTGCGGGGAGAGGGGGGTGAGCACCGCGGCACGGCCCCCCCTGGGGGGCACCCAGCGCCCGGCCCCCCCCCCCGGGCACTCACACGGTGAGGAGGCAGCGGGAGCGCTTGGCCAGCCCCAGGCAGCCCAGCAGGCAGACGGCGAGGACGAGGATGAAGAAGAGGAGGTAAGCCAGCCACCTGGGGGGCAGAGGAAGGCCACCATCAGCTGGTAGCCCCCCCCCAGAAAGGAAGGAAGGGGGTGCTCGGGGTGGGGGGCTCACCGGTAATACTCCACGTAGGCAGCACGGGCGGCCAGGGTGGTGAGCTGGGCGCTGACCCCGTGCCAGGGGGGCAGCCCCGAAAGTTGTAGGATCACGGTGGCTGCCAGCTGCTGGAGGAACTTGAGGGTCTGCAGGTAGTCGGCCCGGGGGGCCAGCACCTCGCTCAGCCTCCCCAGGTGCTGCTCCAGCCCCCCCCGCAGCCGCTGCGTGCTGCCCGCGACCTGCGGATGGGGCGCAGCGAGGGGTCAGCGTGGTTGGGGGGCACGGATGGAGGGTGACGCCCGGCTAAATATGGGTTTAGGGGGGTCCTAATGAGAGCTGGGCAGGCTGACGCCCTCCAAAAGCAAATTTTTGGGTCCCCAAATCCACGGTGGCGCCCAGGGGTGCAGCAGGGAAGGGGAAGGGTGGCAGAAACCCGGCGGGGACGGCCCCGGCGTGGATAACAAGGCACAAAGGCCCCATTCTATGGGGCTGACGTCAGCCTCCCGCGCTCGGCCTCGGGGAGCTGTAGGGCTGGGGAGGGGTCCCCTGCAGCCCCCCAACCCCACAGCGGGACCATCGGCCCCGTTCCGGGTTCCCAGCGCCTTTTTTTCCCCCAAAAAAAAGGGTGGGGAGGAGCTGTGGGAAGGCAGAGCAAGCCCCCCGGGGGGGCTCAAAGGGGGTCGGGGGTCCCTGCCCCACAGCCCCTACCAGGGCGTCGATGCCGGTCAGGGTGTGGTTGGCGTTGTCCAGGGCGTAGAGGAGCTGGTAGACCCCATCGTTGGTCTCGCTGTTCCCATAAAAGCCGATCCCGACGGCCGTGCTGCGGGGACAGAGAGGGGTAGGGATGGGGAAAGGCTCACCCCAAAGCTTTGGGGCTGTGGGGACACGGGGGGGGGGCAAATGGGGGCTCCCCGGAGCAGCCTGGTGGAGGCAGACCCCGGGGAGATGGGGGTGGCACCGCAATGGGGACGGCACCGCAATGGGGTGACCGCAGGGTATGGGGACACCCAAACCCGGAGCTGCTCAAGGTAAAGCAAATTTGGGGAACCCGCTGGAGGAAACCCCCCGGTGAGGAGCAGCAGCGTGGGCAGAGCTCAGAGCCTCTCCGTGCCCCCCCCCTCCCTGCCCCCAAAAACACCGCCCGCGGGGCCGTTCGCCCCCATGGGGTCCCTAAAGGCTCTCGCGGCTCCAAGCAGCCCCCACCAGGCATTAATATTTTGGGGTGGGGGTCACAGCTCGTGGATTTGGGGGGGGTGGCAAGCACCGTGCACAAATGCGTGCCCCCGGGGCTGGGGGGGCGATCACGGGGCGAGCACGCCGGGCTCATGAGTGACGTCTCCCTGCTCCGGGACGCGTTTGGGGCCGGACACTGCCCGGGGAAAAAGAAAGCCTTTGTCTGGAGCAGGGCGAAAAGCGGCCGCGTGCTGGCCCAGCCCGGATGGGGGGCTCAGGGGGGGGCTCAGGGGGGGGCTCGGTGAAGGAACCGAGCGCTGCCGGCTGCGGGAGAGCCCCCCGCCTTAATTGCTGCGGCCACAATTAAAGGGTAGCCCCGCAGGGGGGCTGCCAGCTGGGTCACGCTGCCGCCCGCCATCTGCTCCGTGCTGGGATTAAGCACCCGGCCCCGTTGCTGCAGACTGGGATTAACTGGGAGGGCGGCACGGCCACTGGGGGGGGGGGGGGGACGGGGATGGGGTCCAGGGGTGCCCGGAATGGCTACAAGGGGATGGGGGGGTGCCCAGCACGGTCACGGGGGGGGGGTGGGGACAATATTTAAGCCTCCAGAACCCAAATCTGAATGGGGTGGGGGGGGGGACACGGTGGCAGGACCCCCCCCAGGTCTCACCAGCAGATGAGGCCGGCGGTGACGGCCATCCAGGTGACACAGCAGGAGTGGGGCCGCTTGGGGTCGGGCTCCTCGTCCCTCTTGCAGCAGCACAGGCACAGCAGGTAGGAGGTGAGGAAGAGGAGGTTGAGGCCGAGGCAGACGGCGGCCACCAAGCCCAGGAACAGCAGCGACTGGGGAGGAAAAAAGAGATGGGGGGGGGACACGGGGACGCTCAGCACCCCCCGGGTCCTGCTCCCCCGGGGGGGGGATTTCACCACGCATCCCCCAGCTCCCCACGGGACGGTCACGGGGAAGAAAGAGGAAGCGGCACCGTCCCTGTCCCCGCTGCCCCCCCCTTGTCCTCACTGCCCCCCCCCTTGTCCCCACTGCCCCCCCTTGTCCCTGCTGTCCCCCAAATTGTCCCTGCTGACTCCCCCCTCGTCCCCGTTGCACCCCCATTGACCCTGCCATCCCCCTCCTTGTCCCTGCTGTGCCCCCCCCTTGTCCCCACTTTCTCCCCCCTTGTCCTCACTGCCCCCCCCCTTGTCCCCACTGCCACCCAAATTGTCCCTGCTGCCCCCCCTTGTCCCCACCACCCCCACTCCTTGTCCCCACCGCCCCCCCATTGTCCCTGCCGTGCCCCCCCTTGTGCAGGACACATGGTGGTGAGCCGAGGATGCTGGGGGGGGGCTGCAACGAGTGCTCAACGCTGCCCCCCCCCCCAGTACCCCCCAGTTCCCCCAGTACGGCTGGGGGCTCACACAGCCCCTGCCCCACATCGGGACCCGTTACGGCTCAGATGGGGGGGGGGGGAGCATCACCGGGAGGGAAGCGAGGCCCCGTTATCGGGGGGGGGGGGGGGCTGCATGCGTGTCCCCCCCTCCCTTAACACGAGGATGGGGGGGGGGACCGAGCCCCGGGTGGGGTCCTACAGGAGGGGGGGGGCACGAAGCGGAGATAACGAACCGGGAGGGGGACACGGGGGGGGACAGGAACCGAAGGGGGGGTCACGAACCGGGACGGGTGGGGGTCAGGAACCGGGAGGGGGGGGTCAGGAACCGGGGGGGGGGTCGGTACCTGCTGGTATTCGGGGTCCCGCGGGCGGAAGGCGGCGGGCACGGGCTGCAGGCGCAGGTCGCGGTGCGGCACCCCATGCAGCCAGGCCGCCCACCAGGGCGCCAGGTAATCGGCACGGGCGGGGGGCATGGCCGGGACCGGCACCGGGACCGCCACCGGGACCCGGGACCCGGCACCGGCACCGGGACGGGGCCGCCGATAGCGGCGCGGGATGGGCGGGGGGAGAGGCGCGCCAGCGCGCCGCAGGCTCCGCCCCCTCCCGCCAGGCCACGCCCCCTGATGGGGAGGCCACGCCCACCTGGTGGCCACGCCCACTCCTCGTGGCCACGCCCCCCGAGTCCCTCCAGGAATGGGACGCCACCGAGCTCCCCCCTATAGGGCACCGAGCCCCAGCGGTATGGGTATCAAACCCACAGCCTGGTATAGGGGAATTGCTCCCCCCCTGAGGGGCTGCACCATAATGATGTAAGGGTCTTACACCACATCAGCCCCTGCTGTGGGGTATCAAACCCCATAACCTGTTATAGGGGAACTCCTCCCCCTGAGGGGGCTGCACCCCATCAGCCCCTGCTGTGGGGTAGCAAACCCTATAATGCCCCTGGTGTGGGGTATCAAACCCCATAAACCTTCCCCACCATAGGGGAACTGCACCCCAACACCTCCCCGCTATGGGGCCATCAAACCCCATAATCCCCATTATAGGGGCACTACACCCCCCATAAGGGAACCGCACCCTGATACTACAAGGTCAGCAGACCCCATCACCTCCCCGTTATAGGGGAACTGCTCCCCCCCTTAATGGAACTGTTCCCTAATCCTACAAGCACCCTGCACCCCATCACCTCCCCTCTATAGGGCCATAAAACCCCATAATCCCCATTATGGGGGCACTGCTCACCCCTTGAGGGAACTGCACCCTAATGACCCAAGGGTCATCACCCCCTGCTATAGGGCCGTGCCCCCCCCTCTGCCTGCAGCAGGGACCGAGCACATTTGGGGCCCCCCCCGAGCACCCCGGGAGCAGCCGAGGACATCCCGGGTGGCCCCAAAACCAAAAACCCCCTTCCCTTGGGCATTTGGGGGCGCCCCCTGCTCGAGACACCCCCCTCAGCCCAGTATGATGGAGCAGGGCCGCCTTCGTGTCCCAGTGCTCACCAGTTCACCCCCCTTCCCCACCAGTGGCGGCACTGGGTGCACCGCCCGGGGTTGTTTTCCCAGCAAGGCCAAAACCCCACAGCCACAAAAGATTTAATTTTTATTGTAACGAATGTGAAGAAATCCGGACAGAAACGGTTCATTTCAGCTCCTTCACGGCCAAACCTAGCGAGGAAAGAAAAAAAGGATTTAACGGGATGAGGGGCGCTCCTCACCCTGCCCCCCCTGCCCACGCTCCTGGGATTTGTCCGGCCCCGGGGAGCCCCCGTTGGACCCCCCACGGGGTACCTGGGGGCAGGGGGTACCTGGGGGCAGGGACTGCTTCAGCTTCTCGGCCTTCTCCTTGTCGGTGATGACCAGTGTGTAGAGGTAGCGGCTGCAGCGCACCTTGAACTTCACATTGTCCTTGTTCTTCTTGATCTTGACGGCTGTGGGATCGGGGAAAGGGTCAGCGGGACGGCACTGCCCCCACCCGCTGCCCACAAGGTTTTTTATTTGTTTTAGTTTTACAAATCACGTCAGAGAAGAGCGTTTTCTGTACACCAAACCTTCCACATCCCACTCCAGCTCCAGCCCCACCTGCACAGCGCAAAACCCAACCCCAAGAAACTTCCCCACACCACAAGGGACTGAACTGGTGAGCAGCCACAGGGCACAGCCCCCCTCTAGGCTTCCCGAGGGAAGTTTACGACCAGCAGCACCAAAAATTTATCGTGTCTCAAATTTCCAGCAGAGCACGGCAGCGCACACCGGGCTTATTTCCTCCTGTAGGGTTTATTTCCTCCTGTAGGGTTTATTTCCTCCTGTAGGGTTTATTTCCTCCTGTAGGGTTTATTTCCCTCCTGTCATCTCGTGTGCCAATGCATCTCCTGGACTCTTCCCACCTCCTTTACAGCTGTCTGGGGGTATTTATCCAAAAAACCCGCTCAGAGCTCGTGGCTGTGTCTCTCCTTTCCTGCTGTAGGGCTCGGTGTTTCAGATATCAGAGCCGCTGTAGGATCTGAGCACGCTGAGGGGCGCGGGGACGCTTTGCGAGCGGCTGTCAGCAGCCGTCAGAGCGCCTCACACCGAGCTGTCCCCTCCTCGCCCACACCCCCGAGCTAACAAAACATCTCCAGAATTGAAGCGCCGCTTCGCCCTGACAGCTAAATCCAAACAGGGAAAACTCTCGGCACGTTGTTAAACGCAGACAAAACGCTTCGGGTTTCTCGATGACAATGGTCTTTGTGTTGGCAACAAAAGAAAACTTGAATTTAAACACGATTCGCTTGTCATTCTGTTAAAACTCCGCAGCATCTGACACCCAGCAGCTTTCCGAACACTTCACTGAGCCACAGACGGGGCAATATCGGAGAAGAGTCACCCACCAGCTGCAGGGGGGGTCTGGAAGGAGCACCCACGGGGGAAGAAATGTGGCTGAACGAGCAGCAGCCCCGTGCCACAGCTCCCCCGCAGGGTTACGCCACAGCTCCCTGCAGCCAGGGCGGATTCACCCAGCACAACCTGCCCCAGCCAAACCCCAGCACCAGGAGCACCCCAAACTCGGGGGGGTGGGGGGGGCACAACCCGCCCCGCTGCCCCCCCCAAGGACCACTCACACTTGGCGTCCTTCCTCCTGGCTGTCAGCAGGAAGTCCTTGATCTCCTCAATCTTGCGAGGCTGAAAATTAAAACGCAAACTCAGGGCATGGCCGAGGGCTCACGCACCAACTGCATCACCCCCCAACCCCCCCCCGAATTATTGGGGGCCAGGACCCTGCCAACCCCCCCCAGGAGCACCCCCAGCCCCCAGGACACCCATGTGGGGGGGCTGTGGCTGTGCCCCCAGCCCCCAAAATACCAATATGGGGGGGGTTGTGGCTGTGCCCCCACCCCCTCCCTGCATCACCCCCTCCCTGCAGCCCCCCCCCCCGCACCTAGAGACCCCCCCCACCCTCCCACACCCCCCGTTTCCCCCCCAAAACTGCTCAACCCCAGCCCCAGGAGGGAGTAATCGCCCCCCATCTCCCCCCCTGCACCCCCCCGACCTGAAAAAAGCCCCTAAATAAATTAATTAAAGCCCCCCGCCCCCCCCAGCCCCTCACCATGGCTCCGGGCCGGCTCCGCTGGCTCCAACCTAGGGGCAGACACAATCCAAGATGGCGGCCGCGCATCCAACCGCCGCCCCCATCGCCCGCCCCCCGCGTTCTCCCCGCGCCCCCCCGCCCGCCATCGGATCTCCCGCACTCCCCTCTTCCTCCCCGAAGCGCCCCGGCTCCCCCCGGCCCCGCGAGGCCGTGGATGGCGGCGGATTCCGCGGCCCCCCCCCCCTCCGCCACTCACGGCTGCGGCCTGCGGGTAGAAAGAAGCGGCCACTTCCGCATCCGGGCCTTCACCCCCGCCTCTAGCCCCGCCCCTCGCAGCGCCGCTACGGAGCGGGCCGAGGGACAAAAAGCTTCAGGGAACGCGCGGGGCCCTGAACGCGAATGTGGGGGGGCCCAGCCCGGCCCCGTCGCGGGGGTCGCGGTTTGGGGTCGGGGTTTGGGGGGCTCCGTGTCCCCCCCCCTAGACCTTCAGGGCTCCGCCGTGGCCCCGCGGTCTGTGGGGTGGGTGCAGTGCGGCTGCTTGGCCACCAGAGAGAGCCGGAGCCACGCTGATAAAAAACACCCCCAAAAAAACCCCAAAACGCCCCCAAACAACCCCAAAACAACCCCAAACCGCCCCAAAACAACCCCAAACCGCCCCAAAGCAACCCCAAGCCGCCCCAAAACAACCCCAAATCGCCCCAAAACACCCCCAAAACAACCCCAAACCACCCCAAAACACCCCCAAAACAACCCCAAACCGCCCCAAAGCAACCCCAAACCGCCCCAAAACACCCCCAAAGCAACCCCAAATCGCCTCAAAACAACCCCAAACCGCCCCAAAACAACCCCAAAACAACCCCAAACCACCCCAAAGCAACCCCAAACCGCCCCAAAGCAACCCCAAACCGCCCCAAAACAACCCCAAAACAACCCCAAACTGCCCCAAAACAACCCCAAAACAACCCCAAACCGCCCCAAAACAACCCCAAACCGCCCCAAAGCCCTGCTGTGCTTTAAGGCCCGGTGGGATCGGGGCGCTTTGTCCCCGGGGCACGGAGAGCTCGTGTGAGCTCACACGAGTGTGCACAAACACCCAGGAGGGGGGGCACCCATGGGTGCCAGCAGGGACGGGATTTGGGGTGGGGGGGTCTCCAAAAACCCCCGTTAACAGGGAACTGCAGCCCCAGGGGGGGCTCGGGGTCTGCTTTATCCCTGTCCCTTGCACACCCCATCCCTTGAGTGTCCCCGTCCCTTGCACACTCAATTCCTTGCACGTCCCCGTCCCTTGCACACCCCATTTTTTGCACACCCCATTTCTTGCACACCCCATTTCTTATCTCCAGCCCCACTCCCCCCCCACTAATTACCACCAGCACTGCAATTAGGAAAACCCTTCCCGGCACCGGGGAGCGGCCGTGCCCCCCCGTAGCCCCCCGATCCCTCCAGGATGGGGACGAGGATTTTTTGGGGGGGCTCCCGTGGGTGGGACGCCCCCAGCCCAAGCGAGCTGTTTAATTATTTGATTTACTTGTCTCGTCTCCGACCGGCTGAGCTACTCTGCTGCTCCTTAATTGCTTCAAAAGTTGAGCAGTTTTTCATGTTTTAAGGAGTGCTGAGTTGTGTAATTAAAGCACTGGCAGCGTAAATCAACGGCGCGGAAGAAAGACAGCAGAGAATGAAGCCAGCTCCTTGGCAGGGCAATAAAACCAAAACGGCTCGGAAGGAGCAGGATCTGGTCCTGCCCCCGCCTCCAAAATCGCCAGGTTTTGGCCCAAAACGCGGTGTGGCCTCGCTGCCGCAATCCCCTCGTCCCACGGCCCCTGCGCCTGCCCAGCAAGGCGTTCCCGTTCCCGCCTGGGAATGGGTTTGCTTTTACTTTATTAATATTATTTAAAGGGCAGAGTGGGCGTATAAATCAACAAAAATAATTCATGAGAGTCGTTAGCTCCTCGAAGATGGGATCTTTTCATGTCTGGCTTTAAATTAAAAAAAAAAATAATAATAAATAAATAAAGAAAAGAGCCACCACGTTCTGAAACTGCAGCTTTTAAAACACATCAAATGCGCTTCCTCCCCGTCTCCCACCGGCCCCGGCTCCTCCGCGTCATGAAATTCAATTAGCATCCTTAATTCACCCTCTGGCTACCGGGTTTAGATTAAAACCTCCTTCTGGTCCTGCTCGGGAGGAGCGGTGCCGAGGGCACGGCGCGTTTAACCCCGCTGCTTGGGGGCTGCCACAACCTGGGGGCACTGCGCGGTGCGGGGTTTGGGGAGCAGCTCTCCCAGCAGCCTTCCTCCTCCTCCTCCTCCTCTTCCTCTCCTCCTCCTCCTCCTTTTCTTTTTCCTCCTCCTCCTCCTCCAGGCCGCTCTGGGATGCGTTTTTAGGAACCCCAGGGCGCACCACCAGGCCCCCAGCCCCCTGCTTGGCACCCAGTGCCCCCCATCTCCCCCTCCCCAGACACTTCCCACCCGCGGGCGCTGCGGGGCGAATCGTCCCCAGCTCGGTGTCCCCGTGCCCTTGGGGACAGCGGGGACGCGGTGGCCACCCCGCAGCAGCTCACACAGCATTTGATGTGCAGCCGGCGCGGCGCTGGCAGCCGGCGAGCTGCGCGTGCCGCCCGGCGATTAGATCCTATCGCCTTATCAGCCGCAGCAGCAAGGAGGGCTCGGGGCGAGGGAGGAGGAAATAACAAGCAAAAAACATAAAAAAAAAGGAACGGGAGAAGTGATTTGTCTCTCCCCTCCTCCTTCCAGAGGTCTGATTTGAAGTCAAGCAGCCACCGAGGATCCTCTGCCTTCGGCTCCCTCCGGCAGTGCCAGCTCTCCGCGCGTGCCGGGGAGCTGCTTGCGGCAGGGCTCTCTGTCAAAGCTGTGTTTACTCACACAGGGGCAGCCGTGTTTTTATTAGGCATAATTACGCTATCCTTAATGTAGCTGCAAACCATTTTTCCCGGAGCTGCTGTGCAGGAGGGGAGGGTGCCGCTTGGAGAACCGTGGGGCTGTCCTCTGCCTGTGCCAACGCTCGCTGTGGCTCCGGGTGTCCCTGCAGCCACTCTGGGTGTCACTGCTGGTCCCCAGGGTCTGGTCCTGCTCCCCCAGCTCCAAGCATCCCTCTGGGAGCAGAACATCTTCTACTTTCACATCCCTGCAGGGATGGGGGCACCCTGCCAGGGGGAGCCCGTTTTTTGGAGACGTGCGTGCCAGAGCTGTGCACGGCTGAGATGTGCGAGCCCCAGATGTGCTGTGCCGAGGTGCGCGTGGCCGAGACGTGCGTGGTGAGATGCCCAAGCTCGAGGGGTGCACAGCTGAGACGTGCGAGGCTGGGATGTGCCCACTGGGTGTTGGTCACCGTGCCCCCCGTGTCCCCACGCAGCCCTGGTTTTGTTCTTTGAGTCCTGGGCTCTGCTTTGCTGTGCAACCGTGTTTGTCCTGGCAGGCAGCGCCGTGGCTGAGGTGGGAGCCTGGCAGAGCTAATAGGAGACATGAAAGGAGAGGTTGGAGGGAGATTCCCCCGTTCAGGGAACAAACTGCGGCAGAAATTGATTTTTTCCCCCTGTTTACTCGAGTTTCCTCCCCCCGGTGCAGAGCAGAAAGGCCTCGCATCACGATTACCTGCTCCGAAGTGAGGGCGCGATTTGCTGAATGCGTTTATTATTATCAGGGACTGAAAACTATTCCCAATCACCCGGTATTTTCTTCCTTTTTATTTTTTTTTTCCCCTTCATTCTCATTCTTTCTCCCTTTCTTGTTTCTCGAAGCGCGGGGCCCTGGCAGCGTGCTGCTGAGCGCCGATCAATTCCGTCCTAATGGCAGCTCCCCTGCCCCATCATTCATCAGCCGGCTTCTTAAAGAGCATCTGAAGCTTCATGGACGACTTGGGGAAAAAAAAAAAAAAAAGCCCATTTGGAGGCGAGATCATATTTTCTCTGTCTCTTCCCCTTTTGTTCTTTATTTGCCGAGGACAAAGGCAGGCTCAGGCTCTAGGTGGGGAAGAGGCAGCAGAGGCAGATGAAAATCCGGAGAAACAAAAGAGCCCGTTTTCATGCAAATGACCTGAAAGAGAGAGAAAATTTGGGGAGGGAGAGAGGGGAGGACAAAAACTGCCCCGGTTGGTGTTCTCCAGCAAGTGTCACCGGAGCAGGAGCCTCTCCTCTGCGCGATAAAAGGCGAAGGAAGGCGGCTGCTGAAAGTTTTCCCGCAGGCATCGGAGCTGTTTGAAGCTCCGGAATATTTTTCTGAATTAGGGCCAGGCAGGGGCTCGGATCCTGCTCGTGGCAGGCGATGCTCAGCCCACGCTGCGCCCTGGGCTGGCTGGTGAAGGGCCTGGGCACCGCTGTCACGAGCTGCTCCGGTCTCAGCAGGGCTGGGGGGGACGAGCACGGAGCCTGGGGGTCCCCAGGGGTCCCTTGGTGAGGTGGGGGTGAGGTTTGGCCGCGGTGGTGACGCAGGGATGGGTCCTGGTGTGAGCACAGAGGGGCAGGTGGCATTTTGGGGGTGATGCTGGGGTTGAGGGGGGGTCTCCATCGTCCCCCTGCAGCACTGTGCCATGAATTTGGCCACGCCGGTGCAGGAGGTGGCACTGCTGGTGCCTGGAGAGGGGTGACGTGCACCCACCGTGCGCCGGGGAGGCTGGGCAAGGGGAAATTGGATGAGGGGAGATTGGGGAAGGGGAAATTGGGGAAGGGGCAGGCAGGGAAAGTCCCATTGACACTGCCCGGGGTGGTGGCAGCCCCACAAATCCCAGGCTGGCACAGGCTGGCACCGGGGGACACAGGCAGGTGGCACCGCTGGTGGCACCGTCGGGGCAAGGGCAGAGCAGCTGCGGTGCCCGCCTGGCTCCCCGCCACTCCACGCAGCTCAAGTCAAATTTGGTGTCATCCTGCAGAGGAAGATTATGGTAATTTTCCTTCCCCCCCCACCCCTCACCCCCCCCCTTATGCATAATTTTCAGACTCGGCTGCAGCAGAGGCTGTGCGGAGAGATTGGGTGATGGGAATGTCATCTGCGATTCGATTATCTCCTCCTGCCTTCCCCCTTTTTTTTTTTTCTTTTTTTTTTCTTGTGAAACCTTCATCAAAACGTGTAGATCTAATTAGGACAATTACAGCGCCAGGACAGCTGAGAACCCGCCCAGCCCCACGCCGTGCCCTCGGCTCAGCCGAGCTTTGGCTGCTGGGCGAGCCGGCACCGGGGGCTGCCCGTGGGGCTGCGGTGGGTGGCGGGGTCCTGGGGTCCTGCAGGGGATGGGGACAGCCCCAGGGTTGTCCCCACGGCCACGCCAGTGTCACCGGAGGAGGGTCCTGCTGGGGGGACCTGGGGTGCAGCTGCTGGTGACATCTCTGTGTCACCTTTAGCTGCGGG